GCAAAGATGCAATCGAGATAGTCGCTGTACAGCAGGTGCGTCAAGTAGTTGGCCGAGCCCACCCGCTGCTCGATGTCTGGCAGCAGCAGCGCGTACAACCGCATAGAGAGCTCGTAGTAGTCGGAAAATTCAGTCGCGCCCAGTCTACGCCAGATATGGGCGAGGATATGATGAGGCCCAAGCACAATCGGAATAAGCCCGGCCAAGTAATCGAGAACCAGTCGAAGAAGATCATGCTTGTGGTGGCGCTCCAGATACCAAAGCAGGCAGACCGTGCGAGCAACAAAATCTGGACTCTCAGCAGCTACGATTTCTTTCAGGGACTCGAAGGCCGGACCAAGGACGCTGTTGATGTTGATTTGGTCTCCTCGAATCATGCATCGGTTAACCAAAGCGAAGCTGGCTATGACTCTCTCGAATAAATCATTACTGCGGTCTCCGGGGTTGAAACGGGTGTTGGAGCAGTCAACATCGAAATCGCACCACCAGGCTCCCGACGAAAAGGAGCCATCGATGTAATCTCGGAACAAGCAGAGAACCTGCTCGGTACTCTGCATCTCCATCGTTGGTGCCAAGGCTATCGCTGGGCCCGGAGGCGGCGAAGGTGTTCTACACGTCACCTCGAGTGCTGTTTGCACGCTGGGCGTCTGCCCCGCCCTGAATTTGGCCATCAACGAAGGGTTCCGTTTCAGATACCGGTTGATGTTGTCCAAATCTACTGGCTGTCCGCGAATCCTGAACTCAGTCGGTCTTTTCAGGAGGTCCCTGTCCCGTTTGAGAAGCATGATTGCCAGAACCTCGTCACCTTTAAGTTTCTTGTCGAGGCCCCATTTCCATATTCTCGACTTGTACATTTTGACGCTGCTATTCTTCAGTAACCGATACGCTCAACATACGGAAAGGCGGGCTTACGTGGCGGCAAAATGGTAGTCGCGCTGCATAATTTCCATGACCTCCTTCAACGACTTCTTCTCTTCTTGGTACAGACGGGTGATAATCGGTCGCTTCGCCTCCCAGATCTCGGCGGGCACGCGCTTACGCGGCTTTGCTGACTGCCCAGAGCTTGTCATTTCGTCAGCTTCGGAGTCAGTCGATGTTTTCCGCTTCGGCGGCACGGCTATGTTGGAAGCTTTCATGGCGGTGACTTTGTTGGGATCTCGACTTGACAAACACAACGAATGTTTGATGTCAATGGCGGATCATGCAAGATGACTTTTATATCGGCGAACCTTGACTCTCACCGTTATGAGACACCTCATCAGAAGAACGCGGGGAATCAGATGGATATGTTATTTGAAAGCAGGAAAAAAGGGGACTCAAACGGTAAGCAAACGAACCGCTAAGCCCGGTAAGGCCCTGTCTTCCCGCCCCCATACCAGCACGACCGGCCTACTGGTGGCATTGGATCCAATGTCACCCCTCCCGGCGGCTGCACACCCCTGTAGCGAGAGGCCTTGCATCTGATGTCAATTATTATCGACCTTCCCCGAGCGGAATTGGACGGCCACAGATACCCGCTGAACCGCTGCCGACTCCCAGTCTCTCGCCAGGAAGGCGATTTAGTGGCCAAGATGGTGACCATCGCCTTACAGGGGAGGTGTAAGTGGGTAAGGCGCAGGGGGCTTAGGCAAGGTGCAGCAGCAGATCAGCAGTCACTATTATCCGCAACGGTCAGATGCCAGCATGAGGCGGGCCAGCAACCCAATGTCAGACAGAGGTATTCCGACGACGACGGGCGATGAGTTGACGGCTATCGAGCTGGCGGTCGTGCCACTGCCACCATCAGGTGGAGTCGCTCCCTGACAGCCTGCAGCAGCCACATCTGGATCGTTGAGAGTAAGTTTGGACATGACTGAGATCATCACTGTCAACCAAATTACAAACTGACCTCCTTCAGTCCTCCATCTCTATGCGCACCACCCAACGTATCCGGTTGCCTGGTAGTGGCTCGAAACAAGATGAGGGGGCTCCCGAATTCAACTGCCTGTCCAGGGTGGGGATCCGCCCTGACACTCAACCACAATGGCCGTTTCGACGCTGTAACTACTTCTCGACATGGAAAATTCCGCTGCCTCCCAACCGCAAATTCTCATCCAGAGTCGAAACGAAATGAGATGAAGAAGAGAGAAACTCCGAACAGAGGGAGGGATATGGCCCGCTTTGTCCGAGCTTGTGGGGAACGGGTCGGGTATCATCAGCACATGGTCGTTGCTTCCAGGCCAGGGCCCAGGGATCGAACACTCCAACGACGTGGACGTCAGAACGAAGAGACTGCTCGAGGTCGCAGTATGTTGCGTTGAGACGAAACGCTAGACCTCTTCGGGAATATGAAATTTGGGAGTCTATTCGTCCAGGGTGCGGCGCGGAAATTCGCTAAGTAGACCAGTTGATTGGCGACGTTACGGATTACCCATTGGAGAGAGACGCGAGCAAAAGCTGCAGTATTTGTCGCGCGGCGGCCGCAGAGCCCCCATGAAGGTCCCATCGAAAACGGGTCTCCTTTATTGCTCCATCCAAAGACCAAGAGACCTCTACGAATACACTACGGAGTACGGTCTTTCCCTCAAGCCAGTCAGTCGGGTCGACACGCCGATTATCCCGGGCCTGTCTGCGGTTTTGTGGCCGGAGTGCGTGGGGCACACTCACTGACGGCTCCGTAGGCCACGGGATTCATCTTCCCTCTCCTGTGCACAGAGCAGGGGGCGGAGGAGACATCAAAGCAAGGTACACATCAAAATCATGGATTCATGGATGGCAACCCAAATCCGTCCAATTACCGGCCCGAACGTCACAAAACGCATCTCCCATCAACCATCAGTTACCCGAGCCACCTACTCGGTGTATCCAAGCATTTCGATGGCAAGCCAATCCATCAAGCCAATTGCGTCCCGAGGGACGTGGCGGGGAGAGAAGATTGATTGCCGTTGCCTCCTTCGAGATTTCTTCCCATGCTGGTTAGACTTATACGGAGCCAACATCGCACCCTGGCAACTTGCTGTGGATCCCACTATCCAACACGTCGCATGGACCACCAAGAAGGGGTGACAAGAATCCATCGCCCTGGTTCGTGGGCAGAAGGGTGTCTACTGCGTAGCAAAGGATGAAGTGATCATGTCGTCCGAAATGATGCCCAGCACAGACGCGGGAAGTAGGCTTGACGACATCGGACGGCCCGCAACCACATTTCCACGGCCGGGAGGTTCAACTGCTGCCTGCAAATGTTTCCCCCCATTGCTCAAATGGAGGTCAATCCACTAAATGGCGGCTTTGACGGAATGTACCTTCAGGCTCCAGAATTCTGCGTGCAATTCCATGAGCAAATACCATTCGGGGCTGCCTGGAATCTCACATCTCCGTCACACACGCTCCGAGATGAGCCTAACCTTGATCCGCGGCTAACACACCAATCCTCTGTTTTTTGGCCTGGTGGGGCACGGGCGGCCGCTCCTGGTGCCGCTCGGTATCTGATCGACGAGTATCCAGATCTAACGCTCCTTGATTGCAGTGACATTCCGGCCCCCATTCAAAGTCAATTCTCAGTCATACTTCAGGTCGCTAAAGGCCTCAATCGTATCCGACGAAATGGCTCGACTGCCGATCAAACGAGCAGTGGACAATCCAAAAGAATCTGAAAAGAAAACACCGAGGCTGCAGTTGTGGCAACCCTTGTCGTCGGTGTCACCCGGTGAGAGGTGAAGTCTCGAGGTGACGAGTGTAGCGCATGACTGACTCCGTCCTCAAATGGCTGCCACACTGCTTGCGAATGAATCGAATTGCATTCGGCACCGATCATCTTCACGGACGATCTCAAGTAATGCCGTAGGTCCACGGAGAACACAAGCCGATCCTTCATAGATGATCTGGATTCGCGACAGAACTTTAGGATCCAAGTCAAGTTTCAGCCCTATGCTGATGCAAGCCAGCAAGAGCATGTGGATACGACGTCTCAAAGTCCTTCTGAGTCGACGAGTGTTGAATTTCCAGATCGAACTGTGATGCCGAATGCACACAATTCCACGCTGCAGCGCTATCGATCTTGGACCTATCGAGTCCTTGGGCATATGGCCTACACGATGTTGCATTGAGGCCATTCAGAACCTCAAGGGTCAACTTTCGCAGTTCAATCGCAATTGAGCGAATCACAGTTGTCAGCAAGCATATCCTGGCAGCTATGCTTACTGGTGACTCCCCCCGGTTACCGCAAGGCACATGATCTGGCACGATGGGACTTTGGTTCAGTTGCAACAACTCCAATGTTGACGGCTTGCTGAACAACGGGCACATCCAGAAGCTGTTGTCGTCCATCTTCTTCGCAACTTCGCCACAAGTATCCCGCCCAGAATGGTTTTGTTTTCCAAATGAAAGAGTCAGTAGCTGCAAAAGTCCTTCCTGGGAAGTGGCATAGGTCTGGTTGAGAAACGGGTCCGGTCAGGCAGTCTTCCTGCTGTGCCCGGCACGCCCCCGTTGCCTGCCTTGAGTTGACCGGGGGGTGTGGGCTGAACCCAAGAACAACGACACCAACTGACGGCTCTGCCTAACTTAGGGCCAAGTTTTTCAAAGTCATTAGAGATGCTATGAAAGCTCCAGTGTATCGTTTTCTTGTACACCTCTTCGAAGCTTCGCCGCGCAGGGCTGGTTCTTCAACTTTCCAAAGTCCCTCCGCCTTTTACCTGGCTTTGTCTTTCACGACCGGCGGTGGGAAGAACTTCTCCCTCTACCTATCCCTCCTCAGAGATATAAACCTCCTGCGAAACCGCCTTCAGAATGAGCCAGCAAGACCAGCAAGCCTCTCGAAACGCATTGAGTTACTCTACAACTCATCAAGCATCGCCCACTCAAGCATCGCCCACTCAAGCATCGTATACAGATCAAGACACAAGCGAGCTTCTACGCAAGCTCCAAGAAACCACAGTACGTCTAAGCCCAAGCTGTGATTCAAGGCGTTGACTGACGCAGAGGGGCTAAACTAGATCGCGGCTTTGAGGACATCAAACAACACGATGGACTCTCATGGCGGCACCAGCTCGAAGGGCACCTCACCCGATGACAAAGGCAAAGGCTACGATCAGTATGCCATCTTTGACGGCCTTCTTCCTCGGATAGAGACCAGAGGGCAGAGCAAGAACTCGTCGAAGAAGAGTAGCGGCAAGAAGAAGGAAAGCAAGGGCTCAAGTCAACAGTACGTTTCCACGGCGGACAACCAACCAGCGGGTGCTGATGGACCGAGTCACAGTTGAAGAAGTCCCGGCTGCGTCATGGACGATCAAGTACTGTCGACCGAGAAGGCGTTCGATTTCATCACAGTGTATCTCTTTCGCGATTCGAAGTCGATGGCAGTTCTGAGTTGATTCGGGAAGGCCCTCCGGGCTGTACGTGGGGCTAGTGAGCTTTCCATGTACGACAGCGTCACATGACGTCGGAAGACGTTTGGATTGAGGCATGGGGTTTCTATTTGGACAATGCATTTATTGGGTTTCATTTGTTTCGGGCTTTCTGTCAACATCTCCCATATTGATATAATATCTCATCATTACCAACGAAACTGCCCTGCGCATCGCTCATGTTATTCACAAAGACAGGCGAGTAGTCGTGCTGTCTCTCACCCTCTTTGCAAGGAGTGGACTGTGTCATAGCTTCTGCGTTGAGAGCGGCAGGCAGCGGCCGCCGAAGAACATGGGTGGGATGGAGGGGCATGCACCGCGGCATTCGAGCGGTCACGGCGCTAGAGGCCAGGTCCCGTGTGCCTGCAGGCTGCCAGTGCTCTCGGTGAATGCCAGAGCAGCTCGGTGAGTCGAGCATCGCGGCACTTTTGTGGCGTCATCTTGAACATTCACTCCGAACTATATCGGCTTTAATGATCACAGTCACTGTGTCAAAGCATGTTGAGCGAGCTGAAGCCTGGCGTGCCTGTCAACCAACCCCTCTTGTTGCCTCCGAATACGGGGTACCCTTGCTACGCGGTCCTTGGCTTCTTACAACTTCATGTCCAGAACCTGAAAAAAAGATGCAGCTTGCAAACACAGATTTACAACAAGTGAACAGTATGAACCCCTCGCCTAGCATCGACCTTGAAGAAACAGGGTTAGTTAGGGGTTCGCAGAGTTTTTCTCCCCTTAGGCGCAATAGAGCCCCCCGTCGAAAGACGTGAAGCGAACATGGGGTTCCACAACGCCTATGGGCCATGACCCTGAACCCCACGAGTTGAGTGTGATCGCTTGACCTCGAATGACCATCCGCGAACGGAATAGCGCAGAGTCGGCCGCCGGGTGGATCTTGAGGAGAACGGATAAGCGACGCAAGATCAACCACTTGTCGCAACTTTGATTTTCTTCAACCTTCCTTGGTAAGAGAAGCGAGCCGAGATGACAAGCAGAAGCTTTCAAGGGAGACTCCCTAGGACTTCCGACCGCAAGTTTGGAGCGTTGCCGGGGATTCTGGTATTAGTCCAGGCATTTGAGCCAGGGAGGGGCGTTCGGCGGGCGGCCGCCCGGTAGCCCGGGGGTGTTCCGGAGTTGTCCGGGCGGCCGGAGACATCGTCCGGAGACAAGTCACAAGCAACACCTGTTTTTTGAAAAGAGTACCTCTGAGAGAGATTGAACCCACAATCTTCTCATCCCGAAGCTGCTTCTCTGGTTGGCCAATCACTTTGATTTTGTATCCATCTAACCCGACAACGTGCTTACTATTACTCAACCGGCAGCGGCAGATACGGATACGTAATCACGGGAGGCGGCTAAGCGGCGGTGCTTGAGATGCGGTAACGCGGCGAAGCCACACCAAGTGACTTACACCTGCTTTTTTCTCTCTCTGCCATGGTACACATGCGCGGGCGGGCGCGGCGTCCGCCTCTCATAACCACCCGTGGGGCCCTGAATTTGGTCACCAGGCTTAGCGTCATCTCCATCAACCATATACCATTGAGACCCCCCCGGCACTCAAAAAACCCTAGTCTACCGTCATCGTGGGAGCCCGGCGGGCAGGCGGGCGCGTAGGGCAGGGTGCGCCACGAACCGTAGGCTTATGGAGACTATGCTTCGGGACAAAAGTATTCGACGGGGCAACTTGTATGGTAAGCGATCCGAGAGAGAAAAAGACTAGTTCGCTACGAAGTACGGATAGAGGGTGTGTCTCATGCCACGCTGTGAAGTTGACAAATACTCAGCCCTGGTCGACGGGTGTAGGCTAGACGTGTGTACCTACCTAGACTGAGACCAGCCCTGTTGCTTTACAGTGGTGTGCTGTCCGTTATCCCGCCTTGCTTCAATTCCTTGCGTGGTCCGGTATCCCGGGAACCTATCCTGGGACTGCGGAAAGGTCAAGAGGGGGGGAGGGGGGGGATATACCGCTGCGTAGAATTCTTGCGTCAAGATTGCTATCTAACCTACCCACTATTCCTAATCGAGACCTTGAAGCACGTGGGACTTTGGTTTCCTATCTTCTGGTAACGCTTCGCTGGATTCTAGCAGCGCGAGGATTCGATTCCTTACAGAGGGAGGTGTCGTGAGCTGCATCTGGGCTGGCGAATGAGGGTGGTGAAAAGTGCCGCGGGACCAACGGGCTTTCGTATGGCTCTAACCCTTTCTTGATCGCACGGCTGTCGCCAATGCAGTCGGTCAGATCGAGGGGACAATTTTGGGATTCAAATTGCCGTATCGTATGATGCTAACTAAGCTGGACTGAGGCGGGTTTGTCGGGGCCGAACGGACTTGACGACAAGATGACCCGACTCATTCGTTAGAGGAAGATAGCTGGAAAAGCATAGTACGGCAAAGGGAGTAACGAACGTACCTCGTGCTCTGTTGGTGTTAATCCCTACCTTTCTTCTATGAACCCCCCCCCTAAAGCTCCAGGACGCCGGATGTCATCGAACAGCAGGAACACAATGTGCATGTACCAAGCATGCACGTCTTTGAAGAGAAGCAAGCACGAATGCAGTGTACACGAAACGGGAACCCCCTTGTCTCATCGTATCGACTTTACCGCTCTCGTTGAAAAGAATCACCCAGGGCTGCAGCGGGCCCTCCCACGTACCATCCTTACCCCCTTTCCCCTCTATGATCTATCTATTCAACGACTCAATCATCGAGTCCGAAGGGAGTCCGAACGCCCCGCTCCAGGCGGGGCCGCCAGCGGGAAGGCATGACGTCCGTTCGTCAGTCCATGTGGCCGGGTTCACGGCGATGTCTCCTCGGGAGATGGGGTACGGGTAGCGGTGTTGCATGGGGTGGGACATTGACCGGGTCCCCAATCATGGACTACTGGGATCTCGTCTAGACGAAGGGTGCAGAAAGCTTTGCCATAGTCCACGCCTCCTCTCTGTCTCTCCCTCCTGAGTACTATCACCCAGGCTGCCAGATAAACTCGGCTCGGGAGGAAGGGCCCAAGGGGAGGGTTGTTCATCCTCATCACCCACGGACACGGACACGGGGAGGAAGAAGGGGTCTTCTTTCCTGGCTATGGATCCTCCTCTTCAGATTGTTTACTCAATTAGTACTGAGATCTAGGAATATGTGGGACTGGGCCACCAAACCAAGGTTGATGGGAAGGACTTTGAGTCGTCTAGCTCGGGGCCATGAGGCTATTCAGACGTCAACGAGGGGTCATGTCTCGTCCTACGGCCAAACAGTCTGATCAGCAATGAGCCAAGCCAAGAACATCTTTGCTTATGCACCTGCCTAACCTGCGGCGGGTATGTTTGGAGGCTTAGGCTTCTGCTTTTCCCTTTTTTTTTTTTCTTTCTTTTTTTTTTTTTTTTTTCTGTAGCTTTCGCAGCTTTTCTGCGGGAATGACGCCGTTCTCCTCCACGTACCCCCCTGCGCGCGTGCAACGAGGAAAAGGGACTTTGGTATTTTTTTTTCTCCGGCTTGAGCTTGTTTCTTCTCTCTCCATGGCCCCACGCGTCGCATAATTGCCCCTTTACGGATGCTGTGTATCTAAGCCCCCAACCAGTGCTCAGCATCGTTGGGTGATGGTGGTAGTGGTCGTGGTGGTGTTTCGTAGGGCTAAGTACATGTACGGAAGGAGCGTTGGTTGGTGATCAGGCAACAAGACATGCCTTTTTCGAGAGACGGCCAAGCTTCTTTGTGTCTGACTGCAGGATGTGGGATTATGACAAGCACCTCTGCGGCAAAGCAATGATTGACAGCCAAGGCTCGCTGTTAGACGGCCGCCTAGGTATCGTCTCCTTGCTCTACCGAGGGGCTGGGCCCACGGATGTTCCCATTCTTGCGTACCTTGCAAATGCCGGGTATCGCGGACTTTGTGGCGGACTAATGCCGTGGAGTTAGGAGGAGAGATCACCGATGAACCCGCAAATGTCATGTTGAGTAGGTTCGCGGAGACTTTGCGGAGAGTTGTGTTTCGGTTAGTCGTTGTTGTCACTGTCCAGCCTCGATCCCAACGGTGTATCTCGTGCTTGAGTATTGTTCCGATGGCCGTCGGGATAGAGTCCATCGGTAAAGAAGTATTCACCGACTGGAGGTGGATGTTGTCAATCCCGGGAGGTCAGTGGTTCAGACATTTCCGCTCTGAAGATAGATATGGTCCACTTGTCGACTTTCCTCAATCATCATAACTCCGTCCCGCTTCCTCCAGCTTTATCTCGTGCCTTGGAATCCAAGTGGCTTGAGGGATCCAGGCAACACCAATTCGTCCGGCTACGAGGCCCGCGATGCGGCCCATCCCCTCCTTCGCTTTCTTCTCGAAGCCACGGAGGAGGCTCCGTGGAAGGGACCTTTTGCTTTCGTGGCGTTTGAGCTTATTCTTTGCATGCAGTGAAGGTGTGTCTGAACGCCATCATCCTCTGTGTCTCACCATTCCACCCCTCTCGCCTGTCTTTCCCCGCTCACGCGCGCGTGCGGGTATCACGCGGTTGGCGTTTAATGGGTTTAGGTGGCGGCTGGTATGTTCCTTGACGACGATGATTGAGTATGGGTAGCAGGCAGCCTTTTTAGACATGTCTGGCGTGCCTGTGGGTGTGTTGCCAACGTTTTTGGGTAAAGAACTTTGGGACTTTGGTATTCTGTGGCCCCTGAGACTTTTCTCAAAGTATCGTTCTCGCCGCCTCATCTCCATTCACGAGGGGCTAGGTCTGGCTCCTTGGCTGGGAACCGCTTGTGCGGAAGAAGGCGTGTAGGTAAAGCCAATTCCTAGAATAGAATCGGAGGAGCGGCCAAGTCTCGCCCCTGAAGCTTTGAGGGTGTGATATCATGGCTTGCCAGACTATCGAGGCAGCGATATATTTTGCCCTGTGTCAAACCCCTGGGCGTCACTCGTGGGCCTCGAACCTGGCCCTGCGATATTAATTTGCTGCCTTGGGATGATCTACAAGTCTCCAATGGCTTGCTTCTGGGCGGTGTGTAATATCCTGTCTTGTCTCGGCATTGGTTGAGGTCCGGTTCGCTTCGCCAGCCAGAGGTTGCTGCCTGTGAGGGGTGACGGGTATGTTTGCGAAGTCTCGGAGAGGAACGAGAAAGAGATTGGATGCTTCAATGGGATGTTTCGGTGCGACAATTTCGATAGCCTGGGGCGTTTGTCTAGACATTGGATCTATTTCGATCAGAATGACCCGATGGATCGTGGCATGATTTTTTTTTTTTTTGGAGGCCTCTTGATCATGCTTGATGAACTGTCACGACGCGATTTGGATCCATCTTCCAACATGATCTTCTAGAAGGAAGCTTGGATCGGTTTAGGCAATCTTTGTTGAACTGTTTTGGAGAGGAGTCGAGTTCGACGTACAGGTCGCGAAGGTATCAATGACAAGAGGCGTTCCCTATCCCCTTGGGAAAGAGCCGTAGCTGCTTATATTGAGTACCTTGATTACCTTGGTAGAGAAGTGGAAGATGGGGTTGAAGATCTCAACTGTTTGGCTGCCTTTCAGAACAGGGCTTATGGTCTGTGAATGCGATATTACCTGATGGTGCCTTGTGTGTATCTGTTTTTTGAATTTCAATGAACCGCCCTTTCAGAACACTCCTTTGACCTACTTAATGCCATCATGCTGGATGACGGCAGTTCTTCCAACGTTTGGCGTTGGCTCCCCTAGACAAGGGTACTAAGGATAAAGGGCTCGCAAGCTTCTTATCCTGCACCTTTGATAAAGGGAGCAGTACTGCACCCTTCTTTCCGCATTGTCTCCTTGTTCATCATATACTAACGGTCCTTCTCACGTATTCGTGGCCTAATAACACTAGTAGGCGGACTGATACAAGTTCTAGTGATTTAAGTATTCTAGAGCATATTCACTTATAATCTTTTCACTAGTCCAAGTCCAACGATACCTCTTACGTATTCTTCAGTTCCTATTAACGGGTCGGCGGACGATGAACGATTCTGGTTGGATCATAGTGTTTTTTGTAGAGATTTAGATGTGTATCAAGATTGGGCACCGGTACGTTCACCACTAATGGTCGCGAACTACCAGTTCCAACTGTCCCGGACGCATCGAGCTAGACTACGGAGATAAAGCTACGCACTCACAGTAGCGGCTCTAGAGTCCTTTATATATCGTAATACTATTGTTGTATGGCATCCGATGGAGATTGCAATAATGGGGGCAGGGCTCAGGCAGACGCAGCCTTCCAGTCCCATCAGAGAAGCTCAGCATATCTATCGCGGGGTCTCAATCTTTTCAATCGCTTACGTTGTTCCAACCATGGTATGAGATCTGAAGTAGATCACGATATTCGGCCGGGGGCAGAGCAGGGGTGAAGGGACTGAGATGCTCATGGCTGAAAAGCTGAAAGGAGGGTCTGGTTACGAAACCGCAATCTGTCAGTGCTCTAGTAGTACCTTTTTAGCTGTAGAGAAAGTCCAATGTAGATGGCGATGATGGGAGTTGGGTTTGAGCAACAAAAAGTGAGGGCACCGCAAGCATCAGGCGATCATGGCGGTTGACTGCGACTTTTGGAAGTTTACCTTTCTTGCCATCGGATCTATATGTGGTTGGCGAACAAGCCAGCCTTCGACGACAAAAGGCAAGCAGCTTCACGTGTATTTGCGTCGGCGCCTCATGGAGGAACATCCCGGTCGTATCAAATAGCCTCCGAGTCTACGATGCGATTGTTGTGGCCACCTATACTCCGTAGCAGAGCCCGGGGCAAAGATCCAAAACAATTGGCAAGGCTAAGGCATCAGTGCCAACAGGCAGTCCATTGCCTAGGTAGTCAATATCTAGGAGCAGGGTCTTGAGAAGCTGGAACTATAGGGAATAGCAAAAGACTTTTAGTTCTATTCCATTACTGTCAAAAATATCTTGTTTTGAGAAGACTCGTGCTGTCGATGCCATCTCGTTTTGAATCGTCTCCGCCCTTCCCTAGACCAAAGACGTACGTTATTTTAATCGCGTGCCTGGTTTGCGTCTCCCAATCATCTGTCGTGGACCGAAACGCCAGCCACCTCTTCCCGGGCATAGTATACAGACCCCATCCTCCGGGGCTCTCTCCCTTCGAACGCGTAACACCTCAATACGCCTAGTTGGCAAAGCGCTTCGCTCTCGCTTCCTGTCTCGCCTTCTCGGCAGGGTCGATGGCAGCGCTGCGCCTGGTCTCGCGTTCGCCGCCGCCCTCGCGACCGCCACCTTGGCGGCGGCCCCCGGGACGTCCTCCATCTCTGTTGTTCCTGCCGCCGCGACCGCGGGGTCCACGACCATCGGTGCTCTGTCGCTTGGCATCGCGCCCGGGCTGCTCATCGGAGCGCTCAGGACGGCCGCGCTTGGGACGTCTCTCGGGAAGCGCAGAGTCGAGACCGGCGACGCTACCAACCTCGACGCCAAACTTCTTCGCGCGGTCGGCCTTCTTCTTGGCCTCCTCATCCTCGTCGATGCCGAATCGCTTAGCGCGGTCGGCGCGCTTCTTGGCTTCCGCTGCGGCGTCGGTCGCATCCAGGTTGAGCGCAAAGTCCTCCTTTGGCGCGGCCTCGGCAGCCTCTGCAGTCTCCCCTGTCTTCTTCTCCTCTTCCGCGGTAGTCTCAGCAGTAGGCGCAGGCGCGGCTTCAGTGGTGGGGGCGGTAGGTTCAGCTACAGCAGGAGAAGCGGCAGGCTTGGGTTCCTCAGGAGCAGGGGCAGCTTCAGCGGCGGGCTTGGGGGCTTCGGCGGCCTTGGTGGGCACGGTAGGCTCGTCGTCACTATAATCGATTTCATCCTCCTCGGCGGCGGCTGGATATTGTTAGGTCGCGATCGAAGAAAGCGCGTGTTCGAAATCGATTGACGTACCGGGCGCGGATTGCGCATCGTTCTCCTTGAGGCGATTGACCAGGTCGAGCTTGTTGCCTGTTGCGGGAAGGCTTCTCTCCTGGAGGAGCTTCTTGAGCTCGGGAACCTTCAACGAGCTGTAGTCGGTGGCCATGTTTGCGACAGTTAGGTGTGGAGTCGAAATGGGAGAGTTTTGATAGATGCGATGCTGGGACTCTGATGCGGCGGCGGCGATGCTGAATAGGTTTGCGCAACTTGGGCGAAGAAGAAATTGATGATGGAATTGGGGTGGAACTTGGAAGGCGGAGAGAAGGGGCGGACGTTGATGGATCGCCGGGGGTTATGACGATTTTTGAGGCGCGTCGTTGCTGCTTTGGTTCACAGGACGACAGCTTTGGGAAGGTAAGGCGAGGCAAAGGTATGCAGGTACCTCCTATGTTTAGCAAGAAAGCGGACCTTCCCAGTTGCTCAAGCTGCGGCGCATCTGCTGGTTGCTGATACGGGTACGTACTCGGCTACCAAGCTTGTGCAGCTAGGTACCAGAGGTACTTACTGTGTAAGGGAAGGTGCCGCCGCGGTGCCTCCCATTCCATTAAGCGAGGATATGAGAGCACGGGCCACTGTTCCTGCATTGGTCCACCCATGTTGAAGCTGTCCCTCTCGAGGAATGAGTTTCCGTTGTTGTTGCTGGCGATTTGCGAGGCGTCTGAAATTGAGTTGAAGAATGCATCGTCGGATCTGAGAGTTCGGAGATGGGGCAGATTCTGGTTTCCAAAAATAGGCTGCAATAAAACGGTAGTGACAAAGAGACGTTCAACGGTGTTTCTTCTCTGCTCTTGTCTCATCAAACTCTTTTCTTCTTCCCATATAGCTTTGTCGGGGAGTGAGGTGACAACTTGCCGCAAAATGGGAGATGCATGTTTGCAGTACCAAGACAAAGGTATTGAGTCGACTCTTTGTCTCGTGAATAGATGCCATGAGGCTTGCGTTGTAGAAATCGATGAGATGAGCAGCCACAACGTACCACCCAAAAATCTGAGAGTTGTATGAGATGAGAGACCTACAGGGTTGGCTTGGCATCTCATGTGAAGTAAGGTATTGAGTAGCACACCCGCGGCAACTCAGCTACTGCCACCATACCGGACTCATGTGAATGCAGATGATATGGTGCCCGATATTGACATAGAAAAGAATACGACGGTGATGAGGGTCCCTCCATCAGCAGCATCATCCTAAGTTGTTTCGAGCAAAGCGTTTCGTCGTGACTGACTCCAGCTTCACGTTGTTGACGACCAAGAGGAGTCCAACTGATCTTCCAAATTTATGATTTGGTTCGTCAATGCTTCTGTCATCCCGAGATAGCGAGACTTGATGATCATTAATTCGTCTCGTCCGTCCTTCCTCGAAGCTACGAGAAACTGGGAGGATGGCTGTTTAACAAACTCAATTCGACTTCGTTGACGCGCGGCCGTCCTGTATTGAGTGTGGCGATATAAAGTGGGATAAGTAAGATACTATGGCAGATCTGCGTGCTAAGGGTGTCCGTCTCTTGTCTTCAGACCAAGCCGTCTCGAGCTTACGTACTTGGGGTGGTGACAGAGATGGAACGGGACGGGAGGCTCCACCGGCATGACGTTGACATGGAAGAAAGCTGTTGCTCAGCGGCTCTAAGCCGTACCTTTGGTAGTCAAAGTGGACGACGCGCGCAGCGATTATGTGTTGCTATTGCGTCGCACCACGGCCCGTGTGATGTGACGCGCAGCGTCATGCAACGTAAATGGCACTGGCAGATAGTATAGTACTAGATGGTAGAACTGTAACAGTCTGATAGACATGGACGCGTCAATGATGGTCGATGCCACGTGCAGCTGCTTACTGTTTCCCCGGCAGCTCTTCCGACCTCCTCCTGGTCGATGGCGTCGCCACGTCCCTCACGAAGTCCTCGCCTAACCGATTGGAGCCTTGGTGAAGTTGAAAAGGAGTTTCGGGGGGCGGCCTGGCCTTGTCAGGGGAAAAGCCAATGAAACCTTGATAACCTAATCGCGAGTACGTACCCCGGTAAGCCCGCTGATGGCCAGCGATGATTGATCGGTGGTATCTGTCAGACTCTGTGAGGGTGGTGGTGACCGGGCGCAATCACAGGGCGCCCTCAGCAATTACCTTACCTTAGCAGATGGGCCAAATGTCAAAAAAGTGCACTGCTACCCCGGATTCTGAAGTGGCAGTTGTCTCCACCTAAATGGGGCCTTTATCGACCGAGACTCGGTTGATTGCCTCGTGCCTTTTCTTGCTCCTTTTCTCAACCCCCCTGTCGTCCGCTGAGCTGTCTTTCGAGTTTTGAGCCGACATCAAGCTCTTTCGCGCCCACCGCATCTACTTCTCTCAATCTTTGTTCCACCTTAGCCGACCTGCGGGCCATGATATGGCCTGGGTATTAGCTTGAACTTAGGCTCGCTCGAGCCGATTACTTCGTGTTCGTGTTCCCTCAGCCCACGCGCTGCGCTGCGCCGCTACCATCGATTGATCACGACGCCGCCGGCCTTCACATTGCCACGATCGTCCTCCCTTCGCTTTGCGACAATCGCAAAAGTCGCCCAACATGACGCGCCGTATAGTGAGTGCTGCTGCCACGCTTGACGACGCGAGGAGGACCGTACTAACGATGCCTTTGCTCAGGTACGGACGATAATCCAGCTCACCGCGGTGACGCTTGTGACGTTCCTCGCCGTCTTCTTCCTCGACCGAAACTTCCGAGTTTTACCAAAGTCGATGCACCACTACATGCCGCAGCATCACCATGGCCTGATTGTCACGGATATCACAGTAACGAAATGCTCAAGCATAAACGTCTTCACATCCTGCAACCTCGACACCAACAAATGGCACCGAATCGAAAAGGACCTGTACCTGGGCAAGTCATGGACCACCAGCGCATATGTACATGTCGCACGAAAGAAGGAGGAGGAGCTGCTACCAGAGGATAAGGTAGTCATGGACGTGTCTGTCGGCCGACTCGACCCCACGACTTCTAAGAAGGGAGAGGAGGACGAGAGGTGGGAGAGCCGACCATACGGATTGTGGGTGAAGCGGTCTTCCAACCAGAAGGACAGCGACTCCAAGAAGGCCGTTACGGGTATCGATGTCCTCTTTGGCGACGATGCGGTTGAGGCTCGCGATGGCTGGCAGATCACCGGAACGCCCCTGCTGCTCCCTCTCAACGAAGAAGTCCCCGTCACCCACATCACTCTCCGGAGAGGAAGCCAGAAGGAGCCTCACAAACCCCAGCCGCGGATCCCCGAGAACGGCAGATTTAAAATCATGCAGCTGGCCGATCTCCATCTTAGCACCGGCGTCGGCAAGTGTCGCGATGCCATGCCTGAGGGCTACAACGGCGGCTTGTGCGAGGCGGATCCCAGAACGCTGGATTTCGTCCAGAAGATCCTCACCGAGGAGAAGCCCCATTTGGTCGTGCTTAGTGGAGATCAAGTCAACGGCGAAACTGCTCCTGATGCGCAGTCGGTGAGTGGCGTTGTCTCTGTCGGGCTGGGCGCAAACTGACTTTACTAGGCAATCTTCAAAATCGCTCAAATCCTCATCAAAATGAAGATCCCTTACGTCTCGATCTTTGGGAATCACGATGATGAGGGATCGCTTCCTCGAGCTGCTCAGATGCAAATTCTGGAATCGCTGCCATATTCTCTGGCAAAGGCCGGGCCCGAAGAGATCGATGGTGTTGGCAACTACTATGTTGAGGTCCTTGCTAGAGGCAAGTCGGACCATTCGGCACTCACTCTCTACATGCTCGATTCCCATGCGTACTCTCCCGATGAGAAGAAATACCATGGATACGATTGGATTAAGCAGAACCAGATTGAATGGTTCAAGAAGACTTCTACCAATCTCAAGAAGGCACACAAGGAGTACAGCAAGGTTCACATGGACTTGGCCTTTATTCACATTCCTCTACCCGAGTACAGAGATGCCGATCTCGCCATCAAAGGCGAATGGAAAGAGGGTGTTACAGCACCCAACTTCAACTCTGGCTTCCGTGACGCCCTTGTCGAGCAGGGTGTCGTCATGGTCAGCTGTGGACAGTGAGTTTCATCATCAACCCTTTATAGAGAACCACATCCTAACCCTATACAGTGACCATGTCAACGACTACTGTTCCCTCTCACTAGACAGCCAGCAGAAGCCAGCCCTCTGGATGTGCTACGCCGGCGGAGTCGGCTTTGGCGGCTATGCCGGATACGGAGGATACCACCGCCGCATACGTGTATTCGAGGTCGATACCAACGAAGCTCGGATCACAACGTGGAAGCGTGTCGAGTGGGGCGACACCAGTAAACGGATCGACGAGCAAATCATTGTTGAAGCGGGCGGGCCGATAGGCATCAGAGAAAAGAAGGCATGACAGAACTTTTTTGACTGAAATAAAGATGGAAAAAAGAAGAAGCAAAAGAACAAAAAACAAAGAATGAAGTGCTGGAAAAAATTTGGAGTTTCGGATCAGGTTAACTAACAACCGGTGTTTGGGTCTGGCTCATCAACTGAAAGTCTCTCGAATGAGAAGAAAGACTTTCATAAGGGGAAATTCATAGCATGTATTATTTTGACTTGTCAAATTGTCTGAAGGCATCATCTTTTGGGTGGACTGGCACAATACGAAGGCGGCAGTTTGAAGGCTGAGTGTGGAAGTGATGGATGGGCATCGGGATGGGAATGTGTACATGTATGTATCTTGGTAGGAGACATGACGGCCAACTTTCCTCTTTTTTCCTCACCTCGTTCTTGTCCCCCGTTTTCTTGAGGGTGTCTGTGTGAGTCTTTCCAATGTGGCAGGTAGCCGGGGAGATTCAGCGCTTGGTCGAGACCTATACGGCTTGGAGGGGGCACGCGGTTGGAGACCAGACATGCGGTTGGTGGATCAAGCGAGGCTGTTTGTCCTAAGGGTAAGGAATACCTAGCCCTAGGACTCGAGGACTCACACCGGCTCGTATCCTACCTAGGTGTATTAAGTTTAGGCAGCCTCAGTAGGTGGCGCATCCTCGAACATGAGCGGATGGTGGATGAGGCGTAAGGAGAGCAAGAAGGTCAAGCGGGTGTGACGAAAGCCCATCCGGTCCGATGGGAATATGCCGGAGCCTCTCACCACCAAGAGTAAGGTGCGAAGGTCACCGTACGTGCATTCTTCACCTATCACCAAAAGCGATAAGGGAGCCAATGGCTGGGTGTTCATAGGGGGCGCCGGTGAAATCCCAAGATTCTAGGCGCATCGGGAACCATGGCGTAACAAGGGTCCTCATCAGACCATCTGGTCGGCAGGTTCTATTGCCCAGGTGGTGTTGTATTTCGGGATAACATGCATTCCGTCGAAGCGCGTAGGTTTGCTACACATTGCACAGTGTCGAATCTAGTCACCTTCTTTTTTTGCCACCGATGTCGTCGAGATTTCCGAGCAAAAGCTAGAGTCTAATAATCGCTGTGGCCTGGAGGTGTGTACCCACGCAATCACGCGTGTGACCCCAAGGTTTTGGTCTTGCAATGGGACGTGGTGTGGGTAGGTAAGGTGAGATGAGGCTGAAAGTGAGTGTGTTTTCTGCGACAGAGGCTGCCAACATCATGCTCTCCGGAAGCTTCGCACAGGGCATGTAGTTTTTTTATTTGGACCATGTTCTTTACTTATGTGAGATATCAAGATAGTTAAGATCACTTGTCAAGATATGTTATATTGCAGATGTACTGAGGAGACTGGAAAGAAGGGGTGTGGGCTCTCCATGGCTTGTGTTATTTTCCTTCTCATCCAGGTGTATGTATGACAAAGTTGGCCTGAGAGGTAGATAGGCCGGCAGGGGCCTTGATCAGGCTGCAAAGCAGTGGTATGGTTGCCGGGCGTCCCACTCACACTCCCTCCGGTCGACGATGGTTCTCGGGTACGGCACCCAGGGGTCCCGGCCCCGGGAAGACTTTCATCGGGACGGCCTGCGCCTTGGTGTGGATCTTACTCTGGTATTTGCCCCTTATTTGACATTCTCATCTTCCAAATCATGGTAAACTTGATGAAGAGCGTCGGAGGTTTGGACATTTGCATCGAGAGATTTCTACAAGCAGCTGAGGAGGGTGCGGAACGACGACATGGTCACCAAACATACCTCTTCGTCTCTTTCAATCTGCTCGTGACGTCCGTCTCACCTTCATGTCCCAGGAGATAGTTTGATGCCCAGGGTTGGGATAGACTTGTCGTCAAATATTCCCGCATCTCGGCCTCTGTTTCCCTGTACAATGAAGATCGGCTCAGCAGGTAGCCGGCGGCAGTTCATCCGAAGGCAAAGTCCAACAATTCACGTACTAGAACCTCTGGAAACCGAGGTTCGCATGGTAACATTGAGGAAAGCCTAACTTTTCCGCTCCGGTAGTTGCTCGAGTTATTCAACCTCGCACGTTGGTTCTGCCCCTTGCCACGTTCATAGTCCTCAAACATCTCGAGGCTCAAAGTGCCTGGTTATCGAGGAAATCCGAGATTGAGGTCGCCTGTTCAGTTAGAAATCAGGCGATCGTGGGAGATCTCGCGTGTGGCTCATCTTTCGCCTCATCTTGTGCCGTAACATCTTGTGCCGTAAAGTTGGTGTCCGATGTGGAAGTAGGTTGGCGCTAGGAGCACTCTGTTGGCAACCTCTTGCACCTCTTTGGTCGGTCTGTTCAGATTATCGTGTTCGTTGGTGTCTTGATTGTCGTGAAAGCAGTGAATTTCCCAAGCTACTTACTGTTCCATCGATCTCGAGGTTAGAGAGGGCAGACTATTCAAGTTTACCTATCGAGTTCATTGCTTGGAAACGTCTAGAGGGGCTTGCCGTGAGGATGGGTTGAGTCACTCATGAGCCGTCACTCTGTCTCCTGTCGGTAGAGCTTATTCGGAGCTCTGATTACCCAGTCGCAGAGATCGTCTTGTTGTTCCAAAAGGTGCAGTAGGCCAGTCGCCCATTTCCCTCCGCACGCGCCTTCCAGGATACGCGGCAGGACTCCCGCCGTCGACGCTCTCCAACAAATCGTTTCTCACCTCGCCCCATCATAGAGACGCAGTTGCCGATTTTCTTTGGCACCAAGGTACTTACCCGCACCTGCTGGAAAAAGTATAATGCGTTTGACATCGGCGCCAGGCTCGGCGGCACTGTGTATGAGCCTCACGTCCATCAAGCGAAGCCACGGGAGTCCCAGAGCCAAGGGTGCTCTGCACAGTGCACGATCCCGATTTCTCAGGGCGACATAAGATTCGTTCGGCGAGAGGATTGAAGGCCTCGTGTCGTGCTAATTGCTCAGTTGTCAGCCACCAAGTTGAATCAGCATCGGGGAGGGAGGAGAGTTTCGAAGAGCTTTACTTCCGATTACATCGAGCCATAAAACATTCTTGGCCCGTCCGCCTCTACACCTCGATCTTTCTCCCCTCCCCATACTCGTTTCTTTGGATCTATCGCTTGTTCGTATAAATCGTCAATCTTCGCTTGGTCTTTGCCTTGGTGCTTTCGTCCCCGATAACCCTCTCAAGTACTCTGGTAAGCTTCGTCAGCCATATAACTATACCTCTAGGAAGAGCATCTCTGACCTTACCTGCAATAGCTTCGATAGCTAGAAGAGTTCAACGCACAACTGCTTTCGCGCTTCGTTCTCCATCGGTTACCTAGTAAGCTTCTTTGACTATGTCCTTATCCATAACATCTCTATTGAATATAGCTTTTGTACCAACACGAATTATCTCCCGTCACTCTCCTCTCACAACTGAGTCTCCCTATTCGTACGTGAATAAACAACTGACCTAGAAAGACAGTGTAAAACGCTCGAGCCTATCATCATGAACGGCACACCCAAAGCTCCGGACGCTTTCTCGGCCCCCAACGAGTCGCAGCTGACGCCCACGTCGTTGCCGTCTCTGACGCCGCCGGAGCAAGTCCCTGCCCATAATGGTGCAGGGTGGGAATTTCTCCAGGGGATGGACATTGCCATGCAGGGTCATTGTCAGTGCTTGGGTAGACAAATGCAGACCTGGAAGGGCTCGTATCCTCTTGGTTCTCGACGGGGTATTCTCCCGCAACAGCTCGTTGCGAACGCACAGCCAGGGCTGAAGAGACCCGACTGGCGATGCCCTTCGTCGGGTCAGCCACAGCCCCAATTCCCAGGCCAAGGTCCCAGCCATCAACAGCCCGAGGCTCAGCTGGAAGCACAAATGAAGATTGCTGAGGCGCAGCTCGAGGAGAATAAGAAGAAGCGCAAACGTGATGGGCAGCGCCGGAAGGAGAGAAAGCTCGAAAAACAGCAGAAAGAGCAAGAGCATCAGCAGCAGCAGCAGCAGCAACAGCTGCAACAACAACTGCTGCAACACCAGCAGCTGCAACAACAGCAGCTTCAGGCCCAGCAGCTCCAGGCCCAGCAGCAGTCTCAACCACAGTCTCAGCTTCAGTCCCAGTCCCAGTCCCAGGGTGCAGACCACTGGAGCGACCTGGATTGGTTCGCAAATTCCGGTCTCGGGACCGCTGCCATAGGAAACGAGCAGATCGACCTGTTGTTCGACGAAATGGACGGGTCCGACAACACGCAGCGAGAGCAAATCCAGGCCTTCGACCAGATGATGATGTCAAGCGTTCCTCATCCCTATATTGGCACTCCAGAGCCATGGGTTCCTCCACCGCCTACAACCTTCGAGGATGTGTTTCGCCAACAAGATGAGGAAGGTGGCGTGGAACTCGGCCCGTATTCTTCCATGTTGTTTGATCAGGAGCATTCGACGAGCAGTCGTGGCTAAATGCAGTGTGGAGAGCAACAATCCTGCACCATAGGCTTGCTCCTTTAGCGTCTTTAGCGTTATTTCCAGTAACTGATCCCGAGTTCTGTGGCCTAGGTTGTTTTTTTCCTTTCATTCGATGATGTTGCGTCTGCTACCTTGCGATTTAAGCCGCTGAGAAGGAGCAAAGTCATGTATATTCTAGGAGGATATCTTCGTCTTTATCTACCAGTTGGACCTAAAAAGGTCAATGGCGACATCGACGTTTTGACACGGGAATGTCTGAAATTGCCGCCTATTTTGAGAAGCTAACCATATATTGGGTCTCATGATGGCTAATTTAGCAGATTTATCCGCAAAGTTTGTTTCCGCGGCGGTCGAGGTTCTCCAATCTGTGAGCTTCGCTTGGTTTCGAAAACCATACATGTCCCGTAGCTAAGCATTATCGATGGGATTCGTAGCACCACGGAGCTTGGCTGCCCAGGTCTCTATCGGCCGGCTTAGCTCGTGATAGGGTGCAGGCAGACAGGTATCCTGTAATTGAGCGAACCCTTTGGGCTGAGGTACGGAGGAGATGTCCGATCAATTCTGTTGGGCCATGTTGATGACTGAAAGGCGCAGATGTCTGTTTGATAAGGTACCTTGAAGGAAGTTGACCTGCTTAGTCATTCCGTGATTAGAGGTTGGACCTTTGGGGGAAGGACTTCGGACTTTTGGACAGTCGCAACTGCATCGGAGGCCCCATACTTCGGTACACCAACCGGGCGCGGGGAAAGTGACGACATGTGGGCTGCAGACAGTCCCTGCCGTGATTTCTAAGCAAAATAAAGGTGAAAGCCCCGCCGTGCCCGCGCCCTTTCTGCTGCAATGGGGGGGTCACTCTGACGGAAGCAATCGTGCCACGGTACCACGTTATTCGCAGACAAGAGCTGCCAGACCGTCGCCCAGCGTGCCAGCTTCCACGGACCGTGTGTGGGGCGCCCGCCTGGATTATTAAGATGATGGCAGCTTACATAGCTCTGGTCGGTCACAGAGTGAGGGGTTCATATAAATGCGCCCAAGTGGCGTTGAGCTCAATGACAGGTGGATTAGAATTCAGTATTTAGATTTAAGCACAACTTCACTCTCTGCACATCGCGGCGACATCACGTAAAACCTCCGTTCAACACTTGCATCGTAAGCATATGACATCTCGGCTAGGACAATTGAGTAAACAAATCTTCAACATGGCTGCCAAGACCAAGACCGATATCCACTTGTACACCACCGGTACCCCCAACGGCATCAAGGTGTCCATTCTTCTTGAGGAGCTCGGCGTGGAGTACCAGGTCACGCCCATCGACATCTCAAAGAACACGCAAAAGGTTGGCATCCCAGAACCGTCCAGTTGTACGGTAGACCGAGGGTCTATTTTAAACCCCTCTAGAGGCCATCATGCTAATGCACGGGTGCAGGAGCCGTGGTTCCTGGAGATCAACCCCAATGGGCGCATTCCGGCCTTGACCGACAAGTTTGAGGACGGAAAGACTATCCGCCTGTTTGAGTCGGGAAGTATCCTTCAGTACCTCGTCGACCGCTACGACAAGGACCACAAGGTCTCTTATCCCTATGGCTCGCGCGAGTACTGGGAGGTGAACAACTGGGTATGATCTACTTACACGTGACGAAGAGCGCCGTGAAGCTGATGCAAGAGATATAGCTGCACTGGCAGATGGGCGGCCTGGGTCCCATGCAGGGGTAAGTTGCCTATCGCTTCTGATGACATGACAACGAGCTAATGAGTATTCAGACAAGCCAATCACTTCAAGCGTGCGCCAACTCCTAAATCGCTTCGGTTTGCTCTTATTCATTAACTGACTCTCGCACAGGCTACGCACCCGAGAAGATTCAGTACGGTATCGACCGTTACACCAACGAGACCCGCCGCCTGTACCGCACCATGGACACAGCGCTCGCGGCGAACCCCAGCGGCTACCTCGTCGGTGACCGCGTGACGATTGCCGACATTTCCAGCTGGGGCTGGGTGGCGGCGAGTAAGTGGGCGGGCATCGACTTGGACGAGTTTCCCGCGCTCAAGACTTGGCTGTTCAAGCTGGTGGAGAGACCCGGCTTCGAGCAGGGCCGCCACGTGCCTTCTAAGCACACGGCGCTGGACCACTTCAAGATGACGGATGAGGAGCTCGACGAGAAGGCCAAGGGGGCTGCTGCATGGATTCAGCAGGGGATGAAGGATGATGCCGCCAAGAAGTGAGAGTGTTAGGTGCTTGGTGATGCTCAAGGGAATGGGCCGTAAAAAGTACCGATGAACAAACAATTCAAGAAGAAAAGCATGGGATTTTCAAATATTAGCATGTTGTTTTCTACTGAACAATGAAGGATGTCATTAAAGATCAATGCACAATTACGAGTCGCGCACAAACATTGACCTTTATGAAACTAGCATCAGAGCTGACTTTCAATCTCAAATGAGTCCAATCGGGTCGGTTAGCTCAGTTGGTTAGAGCGTGGTACTAATATTTCATCTGAAATGTTGCGTAATGCCAAGGCCGGGAGTTCAAGCCTCCCACTGATCACATTTTTGATAAAATTGAGGTTTTGGTGCTGCTGCAAGTCAAACATCATCAAGACACGGGGTTTGGGACGGTTTGCAAGCTTTCGTTGGTTGGGTTAAATTCCAGTTGCCCTTTTCTTTTTCTGTTTATTGTGCTTTGGAGACGAAGGTTCGACCGACCGTTGGCGCTAGTACTCTTCTCGGTCCGCGTCAGTGGTATCGGACTTTGGCTGTCACGTGCACCTATCCAGCTTCCCAATCGGGCCCGCCTCGGTGGCGCCCGAAAACTTCGGGCCAATTGGCTCCCGCCCCTTAGCTGAAGGACAGAAGGCTCCAGGCTGAAAGGTTCCGTCAGGGCCCTCCCATATTATTGCATCGGTTCCATATAAAAGTTCCCTTCCCTCAACCATCGAAATCCACAATCACCATCACACCACGCTATCCCCTCTAGCTGACAGCTTGCTCGCCATCGCGCACCAGCCAAAATGTCGTGGAGAAACCAGGGAATCACGGGTTCCAACAACATCCCGTTGGGGAAGCGCCGGTTCGGCGGCGATGATGGTGGTGAAGAGGAGTTCCAGGAAGCTCCCCCAAGCAATGGCAACGGAGAGCTGAAGCGCGGTCGCAGCCCAGAGCCTCGTAAGTCTTCGCATTGCAGTTTCTTCCTCCCAACATAACAGACGCTAACGTCGCTTCTAGGCACCGATGCCGATGGCCCACGCCGCAGAAAGAAGAGAAACCGTTGGGGCGACGCGTCCGAAAACAAGGCTGCCGGATTGATGGGCTTGACGACGGCCATCACGGCGAACATGACCGGCGAGCAGTTGGAGGCTTACACCCTTCATCTCCGTATTACGGAAATTAGCCAGAAGCTTCGCATCGACGACGTCGTTCCCGCGGATGGAGACAGGTACGTTGTCCACACGTGTCAAACAATGCGCAGCACCGAGCTGACTCCTACTCTCTACAGATCACCCTCTCCTGCTCCTCAGTACGATAACCATGGTCGCCGTATCAACACGCGCGAGTACCGATACCGCAAGCGCCTCGAAGACGAGCGCCACAAACTCATCGAAAAGGCCATGAAGACCATCCCTAACTACCACCCGCCACAGGACTACCGCAGGCCCACCAAGACCCAAGAGAAGGTCTATGTGCCTGTTAACGATTACCCAGAAATTAACTTCAGTATGATTGCTAACCCTCTAACCCTAACCAAAATTTCTTGTTTCCCTTGTTCCCTGCCTGGACTCTGGCCAAGCTTGTCATGCATCCTCCAGGTGTCTTGTCAGACCTGGCCTTGTTTGGAGAGTGGGACCGTCATATAACTTGCTTCACCCTTTTGATACAGACACTAACGCTTAGCTCTTGTCGTAAAGTCGGCTTACTTATCGGACCCCGTGGCAACACTTTGAAGAAGATGGAGGGAGAATCTGGCGCCAAGATTGCCATTCGCGGCAAGGGCTCAGTCAAGGAGGGCAAGGGTCGTTCGGACGCAGCTCACGCCAGCAACCAGGAGGAGGACCTTCACTGTCTCATTATGGCCGATACAGAGGAGAAGGTCAACAAGGCCAAGAAACTCATCCACAACGTCATTGAAACCGTAAGTCACTCCCCCTTCTCAATGTCAATTGGCAGCGAACGCTGACACCTCTCTTCTGCCAGGCCGCGTCCATTCCCGAAGGACAAAATGAGCTCAAGCGCAACCAGCTTCGCGAGCTTGCTGCCCTCAACGGTACCCTCCGTGACGACGAGAACCAGGCCTGCCAGAACTGCGGCCAGATCGGCCATCGCAAGTACGACTGCCCCGAGCGCCAGAATTACACTGCCAGCATCATCTGCCGCGTCTGTGGCAACGCCGGACACATGGCTAGAGATTGTCCCGATAGACAGAAGGGAGCCAGCTGGCGCAATGACGGTGCCGGCAGAGCTGGCTCGGCTGGCCGTATTGAAGGCGGAGACGCGGTCGACCGCGAGTACGAGGTACGTTTTTCTGCATTCATTATGGGAAAACCCAATACTGACTTTGCGATAGCAACTTATGCAAGAACTCGGCGGCGGCTCAGCCGGTGGCGCTGCACCTGCACGTATCGAAGCCGGCCCTGGTTCCTACAATAACAACGGACCCAGCGGCGGTGATGCGAAGCCCTGGCAGCGTGGTCCCACCGGCGGTCCTGCTCCTTGGCGCAGCCGTAACAACGACTCGCGTGATGATCGCGATCGTGGTGACCGCGACCGTGACGGTGGCGGTGGCGGCGGCGGCGGCGGCGGCGGTCCTGCTCCTTGGGCCCGTGATCGTAACCGTCGCGATGACCATGGAGGTGGCCACAATGGCGGCCACGGCGGCTACGGCGGTGGTGATCACTATGGCGGCGGCGGCCAAGGTGGTTACGGTGGTCAATCTGCTGGCGCTGCTCCCGGTGCCGCTCCTTGGCATCAGCCTCCCGGAACCCAGAACGGGTACGGCGGTTACGGTGGATACCCGGGATACGGTGCTCCTCCCGGCATGGCTGCACCGCCATCTGGTGTCCCTCCCCCGCCTCCTGGTGCTCCTGGTCTTGGAGCTCCTCCAGGTCTGGCTGGTGGCCTCAACGCACTCATCCAGCAGTATGCTGGAGGCGCCCCTCCCCCGCCTCCCTCGGACAATGCTCCTCCTCCGCCTCCCAGCGACCAACCTCCCCCACCTCCCCCTGGTGCCTGAAGTGGCTTGAGGGAGCTTAGGTGGTAGTTCAGACGACTAACTTTGATGCCAAGCTCGCATCTGCACACCGACTACGTTGACAACTAACGCTCAACTAACAACCAAGGATTCATACCATGACTTCCAGGGTTGGACAAGTGTTCGCACCTACGCATCGACGCGTTTTTCTCGCCTGAGTATTTGAAACCCCAGTGGGGGCAGCAAGCACTTAACGCAAAAAGCAGAATCAACAGAACAGCGGATATAAGAAAGCAAATTGTACGATAGAAAGGGACGGGAATTCTAGTGGACACTAATCCATAGGCTTTTCTTTATGCATCGGTGCGTTTCTTTCATAGCCAAAAGATGAAGTTCATCCCAATTGAGGAAACTCAGCCTGTCCACGTGAAGTTGTATGTGACACACTTGGAAGCTCAAAGCGCTGTATCGGAGTCGGAGTGCTGGAGAGGCAAAAAGAGTAGAGAGTTCAAGATGGCTAGCCACCCAAGCTGTCACCGAAACTCTGTCATCGTGGCGCTACGATATCTCGATGTCCAACACCACTCCAAGTCCAATCATTTTTCAACGGGCCAAGATTGAAGGGAGCCAGTCGCAAGTTTTCTGGGCGAGGTTGCATAAGTTCCCCGCATCGATGACATTCGTCTTGCATGTGAGGTGGGTGTGTGGGTTACCTGAGGCTCGAATGAAGGCCGCCGTTGGCGCTCTAGAACAGAGGATGGGAGCTTGGGCCACCTAAGGTACCTACCTACTGTACAGCAACAGCAACAGCAACAGCAGCAGCAGCAGCAGCAGCAGGCAGCTCCTAGCCACTGCGCATCATCCCAGGCCAGGAAGGTGCGCCCATTGTCTGTCCCAGATCTGGCATGACGCCTTCCCACACCCTGAGCGCGGCGTTTCCACCTCCAGCCTCCTTCATCCTTCATCCCACTTGCAGAACTTCCCTTCTGTCGGCTGACAACTTTGCTCCGTCGCCTTTGTTCGTCTTTATCCATTCCTCGTCAGCTTCCTCTGTGACCCATTCGTTTCCCCGCTGATCGACTGCTATCATTGTTTCGCTAGGGGTTTCCAAAACCCATCCGTCTATTGCGCCTCTAGACCCTGTAACACTAATCGCAATTATCTATCGCTTTGCCTTATCTGAGCTTCCGAGGGTTCGTTCGCGCAACCCCTCTACCGAGCAGGCTCCGGCCATCTCCGTCGCCTTTTCTCCGAGGACGAAGCTGTAGGATTCGGAGCTTCATTGCCTGTTCGCGCAGAACTCGAGATTGTATCAACTGCATTGCGAAGCTTTCAGCGACACGGTTCTGAGTATTCCATCGGGCAATCCCAGCAATATTCGGTAGCAATGGCTGCCAAGAATCCCTTCGGGTTCACGACAGGTCCAGTCACCTTCTGGTTGATTGTCGTCTACGCAGCCTTCCTCATTCCTCTCGTTTGGATTCACGAATCCGTGCCGTCTGTTTCTAGCCACAATTCCTACACCGGCATCAACGTAACCGAGGCCTGGCAGGACTTGACGCACATCACCAAGAACTACCACCCCTACAACAGCCGTGCCAACGATGAGGTGGGCGCATACATCTTGACCCGGATCGAGGAGATCTTGAAACGCAACGGAGTCGACTATTCCAAGGAAAAGGATGCAGGCGGCGTCGTCTGGCCTCAAGACGCCCAGTGAGTGAATCCCGTCTGTTCGTTCTGGTGCCGAGAAAATGTGCTGACTGGAGGTTGCTGCAGTGGCACACCAGCTCTTCCACGCAAAGATGCCATTGAGCGTGCTTCGACGGGCCCCCTCGTAACCGTCTTCGACGACATAATTTCAAACGTGACGTACGCTGGCACCTCTGGCCCACTCGGTCAACCTGGTACTTCGGCCCATGCAACCTACTTCGAGGGTACGAACAAGCTTGTATACATCCGCGGCACAGAAGACGAGGACGGTGAATGGTGGAAGGGCAAGCGTGGCAACATTGGCCAGGGCGGCGTTCTTGTCAATGCCCATTACGACTCGTAAGTGGTGTCATTGTTATGCTGGACCGTTATACTGATAGACGAACAGAGTCTCCACTGGCTACGGAGCCACCGACGACGGCATGGGTTGTGTAAGCGTTCTTCAGATGCTCAACTACTTCACTTCTCCTGGCCAGCAGCCTAAGCGTGGAATTGTACTGTTGCTCAACAACGGCGAAGAGGATGGCCTGTACGGAGCCAGAGCCTACCACTACAGCCCTCTCTACTACTTCACAACCTCATTCGTGAATCTCGAGGGTGCCGGTGCGGGTGGGCGAGCCATCCTCTTTAGAACCACTGACTTGGAGGTATCCAAGGCTTACGCAAACGCCCCTCATCCCTTCGGATCCGTTGTTGCTGCCGATGGCTTCAAACTTCGAGCGATCAAGAGCGAAACCGATTATAAGGTGTGGGTTGAGAACTTTGGCCAGCGTGGCCTCGACATTGCATTCTACCGACCCAGAGCACGGTACCACACCAACCAAGACGATACCCGACATGCCTCACAAGAGAGTCTTTGGCACATGCTTTCCAACAGCCTGGCTGCTGTTGATTCTCTTCAGAAGACTTCGGGCTCCTTCACTGGTAAGCGCAATGACGGAGACAAGAAGAAGGTTTCGAGCGGTTCCGGTACGGAGGGCGTGTGGTTCGACATGTTTGGCAAGGGATTCGCCACTCTTGAGCTCCGTGGCCTCTTCGCGTGGACATTGACTTTGCTCATCGTATCTCCCCTGATCTTGGTACTCGTCACCTATATCCTGTCGAGGCAGGACAAGTACTACTTCTTCTCAAGGAAGGTCAAGGTCGATATTGACGACGAATCGGTCCCTCTCGGAGGCTGGAAGGGTTTCTTCCGTTTTCCCTTGGCCCTTATTTTCTCGGGCGCGATTACCGTCCTCTCTGCCCTCTTGGTTCGGAGACTCAACCCTGAGGTTGTTTCCAGCAGTCCCTATGCAGTGTAAGCCCAAGTCAACTCCATCCTACATTTGTATGCTGACGCTTTATACTATTAGCTGGGCAATGACCTTGTCTGTGTTCTTCCTCGTATTCTGGACAATCTCGCGAGGCGCCAACGCCGTCAGGCCGAGTGCTCTTCAACGCGGTTATGCCCACATCTGGCTCTTCATCTTGAGCTGGGCTATCCTCGTTGCTGTTACGACCGCCGCCGACAGATTTCAGATTGCTTCGGGATATCTCTTTGCATTCTTCCATTCCGCCGTCTTTGTTGCGACGCTCATTACTCTCTGCGATCTTTTCGCGCTCCCGAGCAAGCGAGCCTACGCAGAGACGGCTCACGACGATCAGCAGTCCAGGGATAACATATCAGAGGTTCCCAACTCTGATGCTTTGATTTCTCCAAGTCCGCACGAAGAGGGAACCACAGAAGAGCCCACGGAAACAACGCCGCTTAGGAGTGGCGAGAATGGCAGTGGAAATAATGGCACAATACGAACGACATTCGCAACAACCTACCGACGCTCGCTCTCTGCCATCATGTCTAACCCAGACGATGATGACGAGGAGACCAAGGTAACTAAAGAGAAGCAGCCCTATGAGAAAGAACAACCGTGGTCAGCGAAGCTCCCATCTTGGACCTGGTTCTTCCAACTCCTTCTGCTCGCTCCGATCACCATCATTGTCTTCCTCCAAGTTGCTCTGTTCATCACCTCGGCTATGCAGTCTATTGGTGCCGATGGTGTGGATCCTTTGCTTCTCTATACCGCAATCGCCGTCTTCAGTATCATGATTTCTTTGCCTCTTACCCCGTTCATCCACAGGACGAGCTCTTTCGTGCCGTTGGCCCTGTTGTTCATTTTCCTCATCAGTCTCATCTACAACCTTGCCGCCTTCCCGTTCTCCGCGAACAACCGCTACAAGGTCAAGTTCATTCAGCGCTTGGACCTGGATAATGGAAACTCTTCGGTTTCGATTCTCGGCCTGCAAAAGTACGCCCGCAAAATGATCAACGAGTTGCCATCTGCGGCAGGGCGGGAAGTCGTTTGCACTCCATCCGCTGGCTTGCTATCTGATTGTCGATTCGATGGATCTGCGGTGTTGCCCAGGTTGCCAGAGCTGGAGAGCACCTCTTCTGAACTCGTTTTTTCAAAGGATCCATACGCACATCTCGTGACTGTTAACATTACTTACTCGAACTCGACCAACGAGTATGAGCTTTGCATCGATGCCCCAGAGTCAAAGCAGTGTGTCCTCGAATTCGACGACTCTGTGACGTTTGAGGTTCGGGAAAGCGCCGGTATCGATCCCCTTTTCAGCACACCTATTGAAGGGGGCATTGACGGCATCACGCTCTGGCGGAGAGATTCGTCTATCCCGTGGACGATTGACGTCAAACCAGCCGCCAAGCCCTCGGTGGCTAAGCCCGTGAAGCCAGTTCACGAGGAGATTGCGAAGGAACACGAGGAGCTTCGGATTCGTCGGGTTCGAAAGCCTGCAGGATTCAGCGGAAGAATCTCATGCTCTTGGAGTGATGCCAACGTTCGCGGGACAATACCAGCCTTGGACGAAGCTTTGCAATATGCCCCCGACTGGATCGCCGTCACCAAGCAAGACGTAGGCCTGGTCAAGGCATATAAGCGCTTCAAGGCCTGAGCGGATATCCGGACTGCTTCACTGTCAACTTGGTGAAGTTTGATTTCACTGTATTCCGTGGGGTTGTAGGGAAGGACGCTCTGGTTCAAGGCTAGAGCGGTACATGAAAGGCCATGAGCCCATGGAGAGCTGGAATAGTGTTTTGCTTCATGGCGGTTGGCGACTTGAATTATGTTCATTGGATGGCGTTTCGAGAGGCATCTTTCACGTTAGCATGCGATCATGGGGTACAGCATAATCACTGGTGGCTAGGCTGCGGACGGGTAACGAAAGCATGCGTAATAGGTATCAATTTGAAGTATCATTCGGGAAACGCCCCTGCCATTGAAGCGTACACTATCGAACCGTGTTCAACCGTGTTGCGGAGGTCATGCGTGCGTATTGCCTGAGCATTGCATAAACTTGGCTCTGCGGATTCAGGGCCTGTGTCGAGTAGCTTGTCTTACATTCAGGTTGAGGTCGCTCTTTCCTCAACCAAGCCCACTCGATCCTCATGGTCGAGCGGTATAACGCCCTGGTCCGTTAGTACAGAACTTGGTATGAAATCTCGAGAAGTCAACGGATGGAGGATTTCGTAGGGGCTCAGTTCGATTTACGGACTGGGTACCTGAGCTTTTGCTTTTTTTGCCCCTTTTGATACCTTCCCTCCACCCCATGGATTGCGAATGATTTTGTGTAACAGGGTATCAATTGTTGGTCTACAGAGCAAGTTTGCTGGAAAGAGCACGCCTCATATCAAGGCTCGCCTTCTCGTTCTCACACCACCTTGGTATAAGTAAATGAGACAGTAAATGAGACTCTTCATCACTGAGCCATCCAGTCCTTTCCCGGGCTTCATTCCACTAACATGCCAAATTTTCCATTAATCCTGCATCCTCTCATCCTTGATACCACCACCGCCACCGCCGCCGCCGCCAGCCCCCTCGGCTACCTCCTTCGCGTGGTAACGCTCCAGCAACTCCCTCATCTTGGCCCACAACTCGGCCTCCATGTCGCGCTCGACTTTATTGTTGCGGCTATTGAGCCACCCGACGTCGAGATTACCAATGGTGCCGACGCCGTTGGGTTCGAGCGACGGGCGCGCGACGATTTTGGCGTCCTCGTTCATGACGGGTTGGCGGGTTTTGGGGTCCGCGTCGTTGCGGAGCTTGATGATGGATGCTTCTTCGAGGGCGAGGATTTGGCGCTTCATGTGGACGTCTACTGTGTGCAGGGTGGAGAGGAGGGCGTCCATTGATGTTTTGAAGGTTTGGGTTTGGGAGGAGGATGATGGTGGTTGGGAAGGAGGAGCGGATGGGTTTGAGGGGTCTGATGGTGATTGTTTTGGGGGTGCGCCGAGGGAGGAGAGGGCGGATGAGGTGTGGGACATTAGGGATACTATTTGGGTGTCGATTTCGCAGAGTTGTTGGATTCGTTCTTGGAGGGTGAAGGGTTCGTTTGGGGGGGCGTCTGTGGTCATTGTTGTGTCTGCCATTTTGTGTTTGAGAACCGAGCTCGAATTCTTTGTGGGGGGACTGAAGTGTGCAATCGATGATTTTGAGAAGGTGGGAAGAAAATGGTATCTTGGAGGGATCGTGGTTTTTGATGATTGTAGTTCGTGAGATGAGAGGTTGAGGTAAGGTGAGTGAGACGCCTAGTGAGTGAGTGCTTGAGCTCACAGGTGAGCTCCAAGAAGTCGCGTCTGAGTTGGAAAAAAGGTGGGTCCGACAACGGGGAAGGTCGAAGCTCTCTTCCAATGACTGAGCTCAGAGGGGAATGCACCATACCCAGGAGGGCTTAGCGCCGTCCTCTCCAGATATTTTCCGCCGCCAACCTTGACCTCACGTCTTTCCTTTGCAGCCTTGCAGGGGATGAACGAGCCTCATTTCATCGGGGCCGAACGCGACGTACGACGACAACTCATCGAATCTTATCATCAAAACTCGGGATATCGCATCTGCGGCACTACAGTGCTCTGTATAGAGTAATCGCCGCTGCCACCGAAGAAACACACTCATTAGAAACCTGGAGATTGCAGCCTCGGTTCCGCAACGGATACCCGACCTTAGCTCGACGACTCACGATCACGTCTCACCCGCCCGGTTCACGACTAATGCGCCCAGGGACGTGAAAGGCGCACTACCAAATCGGAATCAGAATCTTCATCTACAGCAACCTTACGCATTCGAAAACCATCGAAATTGTTTTGTAAACAATGTCGGGCAACCCGGCTCAACCAGGTGCCAGCACCACCCCAGGCGCACCAGCAGCGGCAGCAGCAGCAGGCGCAGCAGGCGCAGCAGGCACAGGCGCGTCGGGATCCTTTTCACAACAGCCACAGCAGCAACAACAACAAGCTACGACGACGGTACCGGCGACGGTGACGCCCATTCCTGCTCCTACTGTCCCGACTAGCCAGACGCCGATCCCGCCTCCTGTGACGGCTACGCCTGCGCCTGCGCCGGCGCCGGCTACTGCGCCGATGTCGAATCAGAATCTGAATCAGATTGTAAGTTGAGATTTCTGTTTGTTTGGTGGTTCTTCTGTGGTTTCTATGCGTCTATATGAGGACGGGAGACGGCTCGATCGTCAGGTTGCTGCAAGTGTGGTTACCGTGGTGGTCGACGGCTGGTGGTGACGGCAAGTGCTGTTGGAACCGTGAAAGATGAGACCGCCGGGTGAGGATTGTGTATTCCTCTGAAGGCACGAGACAAGGGGATAGCAATCGCTTCTTCCATCTTCTGGAAGAATTGCAGAAACCAAACTATCTAGCAGGTAGTTGCCAATTCACACTTCTTTGTGTCTGGCCCTGCTTGCCTTTTTCTCACCCATCGCCTTTCATCATCATCATTCAACTCAACCACCTTCCCATTCGTCTCTATTAGTCTTTCACGTCGAAATATTATCAACATCCAGGAGTTTGAAGACAATGACCAGTCTCCTTCAAGAAAGGATGTCTAAGGTTGAGATGGTGGGTCAAGGCGGCGTGGCTTCTGGATTCTCGTGGAAGAGGGCTGCCTCTCTCCCAACACCCTCTGTGTCTCCTATTCCTTATGTGGATCATGATTTCTCTACTCGTATCTCTTCATCCTCTCTCCTTCCTCCTCTACGTTCTACTTGTCTTCGGCGCGAGAGGGCAAGTATGTTCGATCCAGAAGACACAGAGATTACGAAGGCAGTGAAAGTGCGATCGTGCAGACTTGCCTTTTCAACGCTTTCCCCGACATCGCTGACACAGTTTCTAGGTCACAGACTATCTCCTGAAGCGGGGATACACCCGTACCGAAACCATCTTCCGACAAGAGTCTTCGCACTTGGGCCCTGACGGTAGACCCATTCACAACAAGGTTGATGATTTGGGTCCCAAGAAGTACCTGAAGGCATTCAACTTGCTCCGCGAGTGGGTCGAGAACAACCTTGACATCTACAAGGTAAGCCTCTAGTGGCTCGTCGTTTGTGCCGGATCAGTGTATCTAACCTGTTACAGTTCGAGTTGAATAAGCTTCTCTGGCCTGTCTTCGTTTACTCGTGGCTCGAGCTCGTCACTCAGAACTACTCTGAGGAAGCCAAAATCATCCTCAACAACCTCAAGTCGTACTTTGAGAGTGTTCACTCCGACGATCTGAAGACCTTCTCCACCATTACACTGGCTCTGCACGCCAAGGAAAACCCTACTACCAAGTTGTACAGAGAGAACAAGTACCGCGTTCCGCTCAACCAGCACATCAGCGGCAACCTCTTCCACTTCCTCGAGCGCGAGCGGGATAATGGCGGCGCTGTTATTCTGTACATCCTCTCGACCTTCTGCCAGCTGGACTCGACGGCCCGCGGCCCTATCGAGCCGTTTAGCTTCGAGGCGATTTACCGCCGATCCCAGAACCTCGACATCGACGAGGTGGATCTGCAAGAGGGTATCCCTGGAGTCTTCACCGGAATTTCAAACAGGGACCTCTTGGACAAGACGGTGCCCCTTAAATTGGGTCCTTTGCCCATGGAGGAGGACCTCCGTGATGATGTCAGAGCCGAACTCCAGGATGAGGATGCGCTTAACCCCCCGCCCGATGGCCGTGCTACTTTGGTAGACGAGTTCGACCGCAAGATTAAGCGTGAGGAGAGCGCTGATGGTCCCACAAGAGCTGACCTGCCTCTGCCTCCATCTCGCGCCAGAGACGTTGTCATGGAGATGCAGAAGGTTAGAGAGAACCGTGATCGCTTCAAGATTGACGGACGTACCGGTGGCGTCGGCGTTCCTGTCAGCGCGTGCATGTTCACTTTCCACAACACTTTAGGAAGGCAAGTAAGATGTTCTCATCTGGTAAATCCGACTAACAAATGAATACAGCGTATCATGCATGGACTTCTCCAAGGATCACGAGATGGTTGCTATTGGCACCACGGACTCCTACATCCGAGTGTGGCATCTCGAGGGCAAGCCTCTCAAGTCGAAGCGCAACGACGAGAAGGACTTCAAGTTCAACAACCGCAAGCTTATCGGTCACTCGGCTCAGGTGTACTCAGTTTCCTTCTCCGACGCCATTGCCAAGCTCGAGCATGCGCCATTCGGCGAGGAAGGCAAAGGCGAGTCTCCTATCGAGACGAGCTCCAAGCTGCTGCTATCTTGTTCTGCGGACGGCACCGTTCGAGTGTGGTCGCTGGATGTCTGGGCTTGCGTCTGCGTCTACAAGGGTCACGATGGTCCGGTGTTGAGAGCCGAGTGGGGTCCTTTCGGCCACTACTTCTTGACTGGCGGCTGGGATAAGACTGTTCGTGTGTGGATGCAGGATCACGCATCCGCGCAGCGCATTCTCGTCGGTCACGATTCCAGCATCTCGGCCGTGGCATGGCACCCGAACGGAACCTACGTGTTCTCGGCTTCCGACGAGACGGACAAGTCGGTCCGCATGTGGTCTGTCATCACCGGCCAGTGCGTCCGTGTCTTCACCGGTCACACAGACTACATCTCCACCATTGAGGTCGCGCCTAACGGCAGAATCTTGGCCACGGCTGATTGTAGTGGCAACATCTTCTTCTGGGACATCCAGAAGGGTCTTCGCATCAAGCGCTCTCGCGGCCACGGTAAAGGCGGAATCTGGTCCATGAGCTTCAGCGTTGAGTCCAACGTTCTCGTCTCTGGCGGCCAAGACGGCACTGTTCGTGTGTGGGATGTCGAGCTCCCTGCCGAGGGCCACAAGGTGGCTCAGCAGCAGCAAGGAGCGGCGCCTGCTCAAGAGGGAGGCGACACTATTGTAGCGGCGAGCGGACAGACGGAGCGACCTAACGCCAGCGGCCAGGGAGCAACCGGCAGTGGTTCCAACGCTCCCAGCGGTGGAAAGAAGAAGGGCAAGGAGGTGATGATTACGCCCGACCAGATCAGCGCATTCCCGACCAAGAAGACGCCCGTCATGAAGGTGCAGTTCACCCGCATGAACCTGATTGTGTCTGGTGGCTGCTACGATCCCGACCGTTAAACGGTGCGGGATCTTCTGGAAGGGAACAATCGGACTGTCTTCATCTTGAGTTTGGCGTTGGGGTCGCGGTAGTCGACAAAATATGATTTGGGCGAGGTAATACTGGTCTGGGACAGCAAAATCGCCTGGTTACTGGTTTGTGTAAATCATCAATGTAGTAGATACCTCTAGTCAATTGGGAAAGGCTATGAAGCCCATTTGCCCATGCTCCAAGTAAAATGCATGTGAATGTTTCCGTTTGAATTGTATCTTTTGTGAGTTGCATGTCTCGGTCAGGTACATTAGCACCAGCATTACCCAGCGTCAGTCGAGACTGAAGTAGTGACGTTGACCGCAACCGCTAGGTAAGGTACCTCGACTGCGGCGCTTCTGGGGCAGGCCGGGTGGGTACCTACAGGGGCCTCGATGGGCTCTGGGGTCCCAATCGAGGTCGAGTGGCTGAAGCTTCCAACGGGCCACAGCGAATCAGGTGGTGCGGAGCAGCTGCGCACCTTTCGCATTGAGCCTCTGTCAGACACAACCAGAACCGGCCGTGCCTTGGATGTACCTTACCTTACTTACTGTGCTGCCTTGCCTTTTGCCAGACCACATCCCACCTCACCTCAACTCACCACTTCAACCATCGCCCGCTTTCCGTGGTACTCCACAGGCTCGCCATCTGACCCGATTCCATTCCCACGAAATTGTCACAGCCACTGGCGCATCGTGCACCCGAAAGGATGGATCCCCTCGAAGAGTCGCCATGGGGCGATTCGCAACCCACCTCCGAGCCCTCGACCCAACAGCAGCCCTCCCAAAGTGAAGAGTCTACATCGTCGCAGCCCGCGACCAAGTCAGATGCACCCAGCACGGCATCCGCACCTCGCCCTTCACGCTCGGGACCTGTCCGCCGACTCGTTTCCGCCCAACCTACCCGCCTCGAAGCCGTCGACGATCCCCTCGGTCCTCTGGGTCCCCTCGGCGCTCCCGCCGCCGCAGACAATGGCGCCGAAGCCGGTCAGGACGCTCCGCCCGTCCCGCCGCAGAAGGAGCAGATGGTGATCCGCACCTCGATGCCGCCCCAGCAGGGCCGCCGCGCCGGTCCTTCCGACCCTCATCACATCGACGAGGACGATTACGACCGCCCGTCTGGCCCGAGACAGCCGCCGCCCGTTCAGGCTGCGCATCCTAGCCCGGTGCGGACGCATACTCAGCCTAGCGTCAGCGTCGAGCAGGCGAGCAAGCCGAGCTTCCAGATTACGGTGGGAGATCCGCACAAGGTTGGCGACTTGACCAGCTCGCATATTGTCTACTCGGTTAGGACCAAGGTAAGATGAAGCTCTTCCATTGGTGAAGCGGGGATTGGGGAAGAGGAGTTGGCGCTAATCATGGTGGAATCGACAGACCTCCTCCAAGGCGTACAAGCAGCCCGAGTTCGAGGTGAAGCGCAGATACCGTGATTTCCTCTGGCTGTACAACACGCTGCATGGAAACAACCCGGGTGTCGTTGTGCCGCCCCCGCCGGATAAGCAGGCCGTCGGTCGCTTCGAGAGTAACTTTGTCGAAGGGCGTCGCGCCGCTTTGGAGAAGATGGTGAACAAGACTGCTGCGCACCCTACCCTGCAGCATGATGCCGACCTGAAGCTGTTCCTCGAGAGCGAATCGTTCAACGTCGACGTAAAGCACAAGGAGCGGAGAGAGCCGATTCCCGGAGAGAGCAAGGGTGTTCTCGGCAGTCTGGGTATTAACGTCGGCGGCAGCAGCAAGTTTGTTGAGCAAGATGACGTGAGTGTGCGCTGGGACTACTAGGAGAAATACGTACTGACAAATGTCAATAGTGGTTCCACGATCGCAAGGTGTACCTTGATGCGCTTGAGAACCAGCTCAAGGCGCTGCTCAAGGCTATGGAGACAATGGTTGGCCAGCGCAAGATGATGGCCGAGGCCGCTGGAGACTTTTCGGCGTCTCTGCATGCCCTGTCCACGGTTGAGCTTTCGCCCTCGCTGTCGGGCCCGCTAGATGCGCTCTCGGAGCTGCAGCTGACGATCCGCGATGTCTACGACCGTCAGGCCCAGCAGGATGTTTTGACCTTTGGCATCATTATCGAGGAGTACATCCGCCTGATTGGATCAGTCAAGCAGGCCTTCAGCCAGCGACAAAAAGCGTTCCACTCGTGGCACTCGGCCGAGTCGGAGCTGCAGAAGAAGAAGGCCTCCCAGGACAAGCTTCTGCGGCAAGGCAAGAGCCAGCAGGACAGGCTGAACCAGGTCAGCGCGGAGGTCGGCGACGTGGAGAGAAAGGTGCACCAGGCCAGGCTCTTGTTTGAGGACATGGGCCGGTTGATGAGGGCGGAGCTGGACCGCTTTGAGAGAGAAAAGGTGGAGGACTTCAAGAGTGGCGTTGAGACCTTCTTGGAGAGCGCGGTAGAGGCACAAAAAGAGGTAAGACAATCCGCGACGTTCACGAGGTGGGATTGAGACTGACACATGACAGTTGATTGAGAAGTGGGAGACGTTCCTCATGCAGTTGGATGCCGAGGACGACGAGACGGTCTTTTACCGACCCCCCGTCATCCAACCCTCGGGCAAGCCGCCCGGCAACACGGCCATTGACAGGGCTCGTGCCACCATCAACGACGACTCTGACTAGAAGCCCGAGGCACGGCGTCCTCTGGTTCACTACATTATACCTACGCATCACAGCAGCGGTTTCTTCTTCGACCCCACGGCACACTGGGACGAGTAACGAGTGAATCAAGTGTGGGCACAAGTGCATTGTGGAGCCTATCCTTTCTTGGTTGTAGTAGTTGTGGTTATTGTACATATCTGACAGTAGAAGAAACCCCATGGGGGTATAAGGGGCACCCGTAATCCACCTCCTCCTCCTCTGACCAAGCTTTTATTCGCCCTCTCGGCAGTCCTCCGTGAAATCTCCCCTTCTTTTTATACAATGATCCGTCTCTATGCATCGTACAAGCTTGTTTCCCACTAATGCTGGTGACAGTGGTGATTGTTGTCTGTGTCCTACTCTCGCGCTACCCTATTTCTTTCCCTTCTTGCCCTTCTCCGGTGCCGCCGCCTTCTTGGGGGGCTCCTTAGCAGCCTGCTGCGGCTGCATCGCGGCGTACCCGCTGATCAAATCGCCCATGTCGAAGATGTCGTCGTCCTCGGGGGTAGCGGCGGGCTGGGCAGGTGCCGCGGCCTCCTTTGCGGGGGCGGCAGCAGCAGCAGCATCCTTCTTTCCTCCGGCAGCGTCCTTTACAGCAGCACCCTTTCCAGCGGCGCCTGATGTAGGGGCGGGGGCGGCGGCGGCAGCAGCAGCAGCAGCGTTAAGCTCCTCCTCCGTCGGCTTCTTGGCAGCCAGATCGAACCCGCGACCGAAACGTTCACGGAAGGCGGCGAGTTTTCCGGCCTCGTCGACTTCCACGTTCTTGAGGGACTTGTCCGAGGGTTGCCAGAGGGCGTGGTTGCGGGAGTCCTTTGCGGAGCGGACGAGCGGGCTGGGGGAGGTGGTGCGGACGGTGTAGGTGCTTCCGTCGGAGAGCTGGATGAGCTGGGTGAAGGTGTAGGGGCGGCGGGGGCGGGGGATAAAGGTTGCTGCGCGGGATTGTTGGGTTGGGAGACCTATTCTCGGCGAAGAGGTTGTCGAGGTGCCGGAGCAGGTTGTGAGGGAGGGTCGGTGGGCGAGGAGGCTTGTTGGCCTTGGGAGGTGAGTTGGGAGCTTGCCCATTTTTGCGGATTTGGATTCGAGGATGCGGGAGGCTGAAGGGAGGCTCAAATTGGATCGGCCACTCGAGCAGGGTTCGTCAGGCGTGGGGAGTGATTGGCGCTGGCGGTAGTGGTACGACGTGCGGTAAGGACGGAGGGAGCGCGCGCGTGGGAAAGGAGAATTTGTTTGAAGCTTTTGGCGATGCTGGCTCGATTATCTCGATTCTCCTTGGCCGCTGGCCGCGCGACCTGAGGAAACCAAAATTTCGGTTGGTCGGGGCCGGGGAGTTCCGTGCGCGCGGGTCCACAGCTCAGCGTGTGCCCGGGGAGTGGTTTCTTATCGATAAGGAATTTTTCTGGGTTCGATTTACATCACTGGGAGCTTGAGCTACCACCATTACAAGGGGGGTAAGGAAGTCCAGCTTTTGACGTCCTTCATAGCCACTCCACGAGCCATTGCTTTCTTTTGACGGAATTTACAGACGCGACCTGCGCGGATTACAGTTGCACCGTCTATTGCTTTGTTAGACTGCCGAATTGCGAAGTGACTGCGCGCTACCCCGTACGGCAACCTCGGGCTAAGCTCCGGCGCATGCGATGACCGGAGCTCGTGTGCTGGGGACCGCGCTGCGTCGCGTCGGCCGGCCAAGGACCGGAGGAGGCGGCGTTCAGCAGACCCTGATTGGAAGCTGTAAGGCATTGCCACTATTCAATATGCTTGAACATGGTCACTAACGCATCGTCTCAGCTCAGAATGAACGTTCGTCATGCATACCAAGGCCCGTCGGCCTAAACCCGCCGACCTCCGCCTCCGAGCACCACCGAACAATACACACGACACCGCGATATCTCTCCTCCTCCTCTTCCTCTTTCTCCTCGAAACCAATGACACCAACGACAACATGGCGCAGAGAACCCTCCCAACCCCCAACAACAACCCACGACCCCACAGCCGACCTCCCAGCACAGCTCTGCGGCGTGATGCGGAGACTAGCGCACTCGGTCGTCGTCGCCACGGCCACAGACCGCGCGGGTCGGCCACGGGGCATGACGATGTCGAGCTTCGTGAGCTTGAGCATGGAGCCCGTGCCGCTGGTGACGTTCAACGTCCGGACGCCGAGCCGGACGCTGGATGCGATTCGTGAGAGCGGCGGGGTTTTCAATGTGCATGTTCTCGCAGAGGGAGGGGAGGGCGCGAGGGTTGCGGATTTGTTTACGAGGGGGAACGCTGGTGCCGGGGAGGGGTTATTTGAGGGGTTGCCTGAGGGGGTTGAGGTTGTTGAGGAGGATGGGGAGGCGCCTTTGCTTGAAGGGAAGGGGGTGTTGTATGTGATCAAGTGTCGGGCTCTTGGGGAGGGGATGGTGCGGGTTAGGGATCATGTTGTTGTTGTTGGGGAGGTTGAGGGGGTTGTGAGGGGGGGAGGGGAGGGGTTTGGGCTTGTTTATGCTGATCGACGGTATCGGACGCTGGGAGAGTGTTTGGTAAAGGGAGAGAAGTGAAGGCGGGAGACTGAGGTTGGAGATGCTGTGTATCATACCCCATGTATAGAGATTGCGGATAGAGTGTATACTATGTGAGGGAAACTCCGCCCATTGATTTCAAAGAGGATGATTAGGGCGGCTATAAATCGGCACTCGGAGCTTGTTGACGGTATGAACTGGGCTCTGAATTATTTCCAACAACCAACTTTGCATAAGAGACCGTCAGGTGAGAGATATCAAACAGGTCGGTTTTGGCCAAGTCCAATAGATGAAATTCTCTAGATTCACTCATTCTATGCATACAATGTTACGAATCGCGTTCATGATCATAGGTTCTTCTCCTCCCGTCATAAGCTTTTCACTGCCCACCGCATTGGAGTCGCTTGAAGCTCACACCCCACTTCAGACATATTCAAAATAAGGGCACCCGAAATGCATCCGCTATCCTGAATAGTGGTGTAATGTGAGATCCAACACCAGTAAAGACAGTGTAACGACTCCATCTATTTGCCCGGACACCCACGGCCCAAGCCATTCGAGATTGAACAGCAATCAGCGTTCTATGCATACTACACGTCAGTTCTGCCCTTTAATTCTTCTCATCGTGTTACTTACACATTTGGTGCGGGGGATATTATAGTCTGTAGCACAATACTTGTGTAGCGGGCAGTAAATGTTGCCAGAAAGAGTACCGTACTGCCTAAAGCAGGCAGCTTCTGAGCTAAAGCAACAGTCATGCTTCCCATCGCACTGAGCATTTGGGTCGCCAACTCCTGGGGCTTTCTGTCGGTTCTCAAGCCTAGTCGGGTTGGCGATGGCCGTTCCCACCGTCAGGGAGATGATGCTGATAATAACTGAGGAGAACTTCATGGTTGAGGAATTGAATCAGATTTGGTTGTAGATGTGTAAGATATTGAAGTTGGATAGAGATGAGGATGAACTGGTTCTAAGTCATCCTGATGATCAACGACAGATGAGCTTTATACTTTTCTCAGATAGCTCAAACCGCTGTGTGTACTTGAAAATAGAATCCTGATATTCGGGCTTGCCCCTTTCCAATTCATGAGACTACGGCCTTGGTACATCCTAAAGGGGTGCCCAGAGTCCATCGGCGTAGCACACTGATTGTGCCAATGTTCGAGCTAGTTGCCTTTGATAGTCGGCATGTTCAAGTCGAGACTTGGTAAGGTATGCACGTACACTTCCTAGTCCGGCAAGTTTTCTTATTCCAGGCCACCAAGGCAGAATATTCAGATTTAGAGCATCCGTTAAGGAAACAATATCCATGAAGCATGTTCCAAGGCCCGTAGTTCATCGCTTATAGAGTTTACAACCGTGCGAGTAGGTATGCGAGTCAGTTTATTCTGTGGTGACAGTAGGAATACCCGCGTCTATCGCGTTTCATACTGTGCTCAGCTGCCCGAGTGCCGCCTTACGTTGAGTAATACTTGGCAAAGTATAAGGTAATAATAGAGAAATACGTGTCGGTTTGAGTGAATATCAATATGGCCGAAGTGGGATATGGTATGTCTGTTCACCTCCTGTTCTAGGAGGTGTTTCTTCTTCGAGGCCATCAAGGCCGTCAAGGCCATCGATACTAGTGAAAGTTTATGTTGCCTATTCATCTCTCTATGAGGTTCGACGAGCACATTCTCAAGTCCGCGAACTAACAATAGTTATTGCATGAAGAAGTCTAGTCTGTTTCATATCACGAGTTCGGTATTTCCTGCTCGAGCAAGACTAGCGGCCTATTTCCAGGAGTGGCATCGATGCATTATGGCAATACCTCAAAGGAATTTTATGTTATATAAAGGGTCGGATCATCTGTCGACTGAGAGTTGCAATCACTCGACTCTTCATTCACAACACAACTATCACGAACTCTAAAATACCTTACTTCAAAACCACCTTCAAGCAGCACTTCATATCTTCAATATGCAGCTCATCAAACTTATCTTCGTTACTGCCATGACCATTACATCGGTTAATGCTGGCGTAGGTGACCTCTTCGGTTTCGGCCAGCTTTGATGCAGAGTCGCTAACACTCGATAAAGTGCATGATTGCAGGAAGCTACGATCCTAATTGCTGCTGGGGCGGTAAAGATAACGTAGATGCCTGTAACAGGCAAGGCGCTTGCAACGTTGGCGGCGACACAGACAATTACTGTGCCAAGTTTGGAATCACCCCGCAGCAGTGTGTAAGTAGCCTAGTGAATTGCCCCTTCTGCCTTAAGACATCACAAAGCACCTTTCTAACATTCTCTCTGTCTAGGATGCCGATTGTTGCGACACACGCACCAAGAAAGGCAAGCCTTGTCCTAAGGGGAGGAATGCTTGTGACCGCAAAACGGGCTGCCCTAACAGGTAGACTATTGCTGTTGGAACTTCATATTGTTCAGTCTGCCCATCGCTTAGTATCTCGCTTATCTCGCTTATCCCGCATAGAGCGGTTACCGAAACTGCCTTAGGTGGTTCTGCCACCGCTTGGACCTGGCCAGCACTCTTAGCATAGAAAATAGCATTCATTCAGCCCAGTGCGGGCCTGGAAACTCGCCCGTGTCCTATTTTTCAGTGTCGGGATGTGTCTAGATATGCCCAACCAAGTGCAACTATTGTCGAGGGTGGTCAAAATTAACCTTGAATTGAGAGTTAAATAGTCTGAGTCAAAAAGCGTAAATAGACGGGAGTTAATTGGCCTGTCTTAATGTCTGCTGGTAGGTTTTGGATAGAGCAAGTTCTATAAGCAACTCTTTCTGCGGCTCCTTGGCAGCGGTGTGAAACGGGTCCCAACTGAAGTAGAGCAGGCATTGTAGTTGAAGCCGAGAATAGACGTCATGAAAAGAGATGGACCGTGCAACGACCCCCTGGCCGTTGCCAATGATGCGGGCGGTTCAGACGCGGGGGAGATGAGATGTGCTGACATATCCGTAAGGCGCCGCCGCAGACTTAAGCCAGCAGCCCAGCACCCAATCTCGGGGCAGATTTCACGAAGGGGTGGCGCTGTATTTTCAGCCTCGTCGATGGGTGGGACTTGTGGCAAGGGTATTTCAACGCCAGACGACTGGCTGCTGGGCTTAACTTCGCCCGCGTTGACATCGAACCATTCAAGATGGACCTTGGAGCAAACAGAAGTATCTAGCAAACAGTGGAAGTGTCGATTTCTGCTTGAGAACATTGTGAACGGGGATCCATCGTTCGAAGGCGGTAAAACTGGAGTAAAAGAAGACTTTGGACTGGACAAACAGACACTGTTCATCCCCACATCGAAGGAGCCACGGAGGCACGGAGGCAAGGGAGAATCAATGGAAGGCAAGAAGCTGTGACCACCGGACGCTACGTGAGGTACCTAGGTAGAGCGACGCCTTCCTCGACCTTCTGAAGTAGGTACAGGGTAAGGTACATACAGAAGATGTTCCTTACATAAGGTAAGGTGAGGTACCTAAGGTAAATACACTTGAAGCTGTTCACAAGGCAAGCGCACTTCAGTGGATGGCGGTAAGGCGACCTTTCCCCAGATGCATTGGATGGCGATTCTCTTCTTTTCCATGCAGGTCTGAGTCTGAGGTGCAATGGAGGCAGGCGCAGGCGGCAGGCGGCAGGCAGGCGAGGAAGGCACAAGAAAAAAAAGGGACCCTCGTCCCACACGGTGGCCCCCGCAGATCAACCAATCAGAGCCCCCGCACGGTTGCTGTGGTGGCAGGGCAAGCGAATCAGAGAAGGGTCTGGAAGGCCTGGAGGTGATGGAATCGCATAGAATTCTTGAGCTGGGGGGGTGAGCGTCGCTGCCTTTCTGCTTTGGGGTCCAGACGGCCACCGGGACTCCAGACGTCTTTTTCTTTTTTAGCCTCCTCCTCTTCCCACGTCTTCTTGACTCTCAGACTTCTTCTTCCTCGCATCTCAACTTTTCTCTCGCTCTCCCAATTTCTCTCTTCTCTCCTACTCCCCCAAAAGAATCAATCTTTCCATCGTCGATTCGTAGCAGCGAAAGACCTGTTGCATTCGTAGAGAAGCTCTTCTCAAGGTAAGCTCGCCGAAACACACCCCGCTGTCCCGGCCTGGTCTCGATGCCGTTTTGCCATCCCCAGCGTCACCGTCACCCCTCACTTCTCTTTCAATTGGAACTCGGTATTTCGCATTTCAAGCGTCAGCCTCGTCGGTGATTGAGATTCATCATCTTTGCACCTTCTGCTTTGGAAGTCCAATTCTACGAAATTGGCGACAAGGCTCCCCTCCCCCCGCTCTACTACCCCTCCACGAACCGCAGCCTCACCGCCCACCCAGACAACTTTTCCAAACAATATCTAACAAATCTTGACAGAATTACGACCGTTACGCCCTAGATACCCACATCCTCCATCACAATGTCTTCCCCGGAGACCTTCGAGTTCCAGGCTGAGATCTCTCAGCTCCTGTCGCTCATCATTAACACTGTCTACTCAAACAAGGAGATCTTCCTGCGTGAGCTTGTTTCCAACGCCTCCGATGCCTTGGACAAGATCCGCTATGAGTCTCTGTCCGACCCCAGCAAGCTCGACTCGGGCAAGGACCTGAGAATCGACATCATCCCCGACAAGGAGAACAAGACCCTCACCATCCGTGATACCGGTATTGGTTTCACCAAGGCTGTTAGTACTCCATGGTCCCAACACTTCCCAATCAATTGCAATGATCAGTAGCTGACCTTCTCAGGACCTCGTCAACAACCTGGGTACCATTGCCCGATCCGGAACCAAGCAGTTCATGGAGGCTCTCACCGCCGGTGCCGATATTTCCATGATTGGTCAGTTCGGTGTTGGTTTCTACTCTGCCTACCTTGTCGCCGACAAGGTCACCGTCGTCTCCAAGCACAACGACGACGAGCAGTACGTTTGGGAGTCCTCCGCTGGTGGCACTTTCTCCATCACCCCCGACACCGAGGGTGAGGCCCTTGGCCGCGGCACCAAGATCATCCTTCACCTGAAGGACGAGCAGACCGACTACCTCAACGAGGCCAAGGTCAAGGAGGTCATCAAGAAGCACTCTGAGTTCATCTCCTACCCCATCTACCTCCACGTCACCAAG